TGTTTATTTTGTTTCCTTTCTTGTTCTCTTTTCCTGAGAAAATCCAAAATGACAGCGTCTCTCTTGTCCTGCAGAGCCCTGCTAACAACGTCCACAGAAACTGCACACACTCGCGCGCACAGATGAAAGGCTCAGCCCTAATGACAAGGTACCCTGTCCACTTAATACTTCAAAGATTGAGCCGGGTGGGGGGGGGATAACACCCCCTCCTGCCCCTCACATATCCACCACAGTTAGCCGAAGCCTGAACCAAACCAGGACCAGCAGATATCGACAGACCCTCGATCTGCATCCCGTGTAACCAGCCTCTAAACAAAAACACTGACATTGGTTACACACAAACACACACACACCCCCCAACTCAAGCATAAATCAGACACACATTTTCGTTTCTACACACACAAATAAACAGAGGACCAAACGGGGGCAAACACTGAACCGCCACACAAACCGTCCATTATGACAAAAAAGTCCCAGGAATTAAACTAAAGACGCGACTCGTGAAGTAAAACATTCTGTAAGGAGATTTGCTTCTGTTCTACTTTAAAAATCATCTCAGTAACATCAAATAAATTAAACTAGTTACTCGAATTAAAAACTCGACAGGTTGTTTCCACACGGAGGAGTTAAATTCACGCTGGGGGAACTACTCCCATCTTCTACTTCTGTAAAAACAGCAATACCACACTGAAGAAATACTCTTACTACAAGTCACGCATTCATGATTTTACTTCTAAAGTAAAAGTAGAAAAACACTGGCATCAAACTTTAAAGTACCCGAAGTAAAAGTACTCATCATGCAGTATCACCCATTTCAGAATAATGTATATTACTGGATGATAATTAGTGATGCATTAAGGTAGGGCTACTTTTAATTACTTTCTATAAACGCTGAAGTCTTATCGTCACCTGTAATAATACACGTATTTGTTGATTATACTTTATTGTATCATTAATCTGACATTGTAAAGTTATCAAAGTGAAATCAAACAGCAGAACGTGGAAATACTCAGGTAAATTACCTCAAAATTATACTTAAGTACAGTACTTGGTTGCAGGCACTTTACTTTTCAATGATTGAAAGGAGATGGTGGTGGTAGGAGAGGGGACCAAAATCATTGCAAAGACAATATGGAAATCAACTGAGAGTTAACTGGATCAGGAATCTGCTGCCACATGTGAAGGTTTCTAAGATTATAAATGTGAACTAATTTAACTGTCGCAGCAGTTTTATTTACATAGCCCACTAATACAAATCACAAATGTGCCTCAAGAGGCTTTAGAGTCTCTACCCTTTGTCTTTGGACCCTCGATCCCGATGAGGAAAATCCCCCTCAAAAACACACAGGCAGTAGATGTTGTGTCCAAACCTTTACAGGCCAGACACTTTGCTAACAGGACGTCTGCATGCAGACTCTCTCTGTTGAAGCTTCAGCTAAAGGAAAATATGTAGGGTGATCAGGTTTTCCTCTTGCTGCTGCTGCTTTGTTTACAATCAGCTGCCTGTGTTTAGAAAATGGCATCTGTGGTCACATGGGTGGGGGCAGGGTTCCTGTTGGTACTACTACCAGCTAGCCGATAGGTTTCATCCATCACGTTTGACGCTGCTGATGGCCGAGAAGGCGATGAAAGGCCTCTGCTCTCGTCGGGTTGGGTCTGTGTGAACCTTACTCCTTCACGGTGGAGCTCATAAGCGGGTATCAATCTTCTCAACTTACTCAAAGCAAGAAAAGCCGACCGTTTCCTCAGTTTCTTGTCTTTATGCTAAGCTAGTCTAAAGGCCAGTTACTGCCATTTGTCGCAGCAACTTATTCTGAACAGATGAGAGGATGCAAAATTATCTTTCTGAACGTCTGGAAACAGAAAAGGTTTAATCAGGGAGCTTTGTTTTTTAGGATGGGGTTGATATCAAACAATACGGCAGCACAATCCTGTTACACCAACAACACACGCTGTAGAAGCAGATTAAAGAAAAGACAGAGACACACTCTCAGGGGAAAGTGCAGCTAACCTCTAAATCGTACGGCTCCCTGGTGAGATCAGCCTCAAGTCCCACTGGCCGACCATTAAACCCTTTAATCGCAGCCATGTTTCACTTCTCAGTGCTGACTCTGTCATTCATGGCCATATACGATGAGCCTCATGACACGTAGACTTGAAGAGGATGACTCAAACTAACGTCACTCTATAACAAAAACCAATTTAAAAAGACACATTTACAGTTCACATAAGAGCGAATGATTCAAACAGCTGTGATTCATTGCAGTTTGGTAATTGTGGCTGTTCTCACTCGTAACCCCGTCCACGCTGTGGAGTCCCCAGGATGAAATGAGGTCAGCGGCAATACCGGGCGACACTTTCATCAGGTTAATGTAAAGCCAATAAAACTACTGGATGGATAGCCGTGACATTTGTTTCAGACATACGTCACAAAAGTGAGGACACACATATCTGATTCTGTCTTTTCATGTTTCAACACTGAAGACATGACACTTTGCTCCAGTGTAAAGTAGTGAGTGTGCAGCTTTTATAACAGTGTAAATCTGCCGTCCCCTCAAAATAACACATCACACAGCCGTTAATGTCTAAACCTTTGGCAACAAAAGTGAGGACACCCCTAAGAGAAAATGTCCACATTGGGCCCAAAGTGCCGTTTCTTCAGTGTTGTCATGTGAAAAGATATAATCAAATATTCACTATTCACTCACTAATAATGTGAGGGGTGTACTCTCGTTTGTGAGACACTGCACGCGTCACCCTCAGGATGAACGCAGATGGCTTTCTTTAGCGGCATCATCAGGTCAACATTTCAATGTGTCCAGTACTTTTAAATACCTGCAGAACAACTGACATCCACGTTAGAAATGTTGGCGCGTTAACGTGCTAAACTAAGACGGCGAGCATTGTAAACACGGCTCACGCTTGTCATCAGCATGTTAGGTGCATGTCAAGTCTCTTAACTGCATCCACGTTTCCCCTCACAGGAGAAACGAGGCGTTCGTGTGTGATGACGGCGGCAGCTGAGAGATCCCTCAGAGATCCTCGGAGCACAAATAAGAGCTTTGGGACGGCCAAGATGGCGGACCAGAACGATTTCTGGTTCAAGCAAGGGAATGTAAAATAAGAGGCATGAGATGGACCTGTAGTCTCGTTAATATATAGCACAGATCACACCCTCTTCAGCGCCACCGAAAGAAAGCTCTAAACGGCGCTCATGCTCGGCCTTAAGTGCCGTTTTGGGAAAAGGGAGCGTTTGAAGAGAAGCTCTTCAAAGACGTGGAATCGTTAGGGGGAAATGAGGCCCAGGTCAATACTTGTGGGCCCAAAGAGGCTTCTGCAGGCATTCAAACCTGTGACCTTTAAGTTACAGGATGTTCTCCAAACATCAGACCACTTCGCCACGCCTTCCCTCACAACATCCATCCATCAAAACACACGTCACCTCCCACCCTTGGTCTCTCCTGACGCCCGCTCCTCCTACTCAGCCATAAAAACACAGGTTTCCTCATCAGGACGGATCAAGCTGCACGGCTCCGTTACCTCACATCCATCAACGCCTCTGCAAGCCCAGATAAGGGGGGGGGCAGAACATCCTACTCATGTAATTAGGTAATTATAGGCAACGCATGATGGATCACTGTAGTAGTTTTATTTTTGCAACTGTTAAGTCACATTGAGGGTGTGATCACTCCTACGGTTTGTTTTCTTTCTAACCGCAGCAGAAAGGTTCAGACTGTTCTGTTGACATGCGCTCAGGTAAGCGAACCTAAATGAACCAGAGCCTGTACACGACCGCCTCACGTACTACACGTACTGTGTGGAGCATCTCTTCTTCCTCCGAGTCTTCATCAAGACCAAGTGCTAAACCTTGTGTTTCAAGTCTTGAACAGGTGGTTATTTATCTGTACTGCACAGTCTACCTTTTCCTCCTGCTTGAGCAACGTGACCGGCTGCAGTCAGACGGATTAAAAAAGTAAATCCATCGTCAGGAAAATGGAGAGTCTGTTCACTGCAGGATCATCTTCATCGAGCACGGGGAGGACGTCAAGTAATTAAGTTTTAAGTCATCCGATTCTGATTTGAGGCTGAATCAAGTCCACACTTATGCTTTATACCCATAAACCATTGCACCGTTTGCTATAATTTGATCAGGTGACCGTGCTGCTCCTAGTTATGATTTCCTGTCTTGTACAGTAATTCGGTTCACTCTACTTAAAATGCCATAATTCGCTTCCACACATAAAAACCTCTCTGAGATGCAAAAAGGTGCTGCAGATACCAAATGTCAACCGCCTCAAGGGTTAAAAAAACATCTCTCTACCCTGTCTCCTGAACGCCTCCCACACGTCCCCTTCCTACCCGTAGTGTACTTAGGAGGATGAAATATAATGAGGGATGACAAATTTCACACAGCTCAGCCAATTTCATTCTGGAGCAGAGTTAATTACGACAATTAAACCTGGGAGAGCTTTCTTTAACTTGATTATGGGTTATTATGGTGATACAGTAGGTACCAGACACAGTCAGGGATGAACGGCATCACCGCAGCGTTCATAATCAGATCATGCTCAAGGGCACTGCTGCTTTTATTAAGATGTGTGCTAAAGTCAAACAATACGCCCGAAAAACGTTGTCTTAAAAGCATCAGCTTGACTCTAACCGTAGTGTGTACAGTCGAGATTTATTAAATGCAACCACTCTTCCTCCCGCTCTGCTTGGATCATACTGATGACACATCAAAATACAAAGAGCAGCACACAGTTACAAAGCAGGAACGGCCGACGTCTCAGACAACCGATCTAAAAGCGGCGCACGGAGGGAAACTCCAGAGCTATTTTTTGCCACCAAATGAAATTATTATGCTTGAGAAATCAGCAATCTGTGGCGAAACCAAGAACGCATCAGATTTAGTTAATCTGATTTCTGGTAATGTGATTGTTCTGCCTAAAAACGAAGCGTCTCGTATGATAAAACCAGATAAATCAACAGGCTGCACTCACTGTTCTCCTTCCCGTCTCCGATGCAGCTGCCGATGGTCTCGGTGAGGCCGAGGGTGGCCGCTGAGGGCATCCTGCCCAGGATGGACGCCAGCGAAGGGCCTTTTCGCTTTTGACCGTCCTCCTCCTGCTCCTCCTGCTCCTCCTCTGGTCTCTTCTGCTCCAGTTTGATCAGAGCCTCCAGCGAGAGCTCGTCGAGCTCTTTGCCAAAGTGCCTGGCCACGGCCTGAAGCTCGTCTTCCTCTTCTGGTTCCTCACAGTCTTCCACCTTGGAGGTTGTGGACAGGACCTCCTGCTCCTCATTGTCACCATCTGGGAGAGGGTCAGAGTTAATGTGGCGTTTGATTTATCACTTTAAAAAAGGAAAGAACTTTTTTTGCTTGCAACCTCTTTGAAAGGGACACTAGAGGTCAGGATCAGCAAGCCTGGATCTGATCAGCTTTGTGTTGAACACATCGTCACGACAGACAGAAACAGGAAAATAGCCTCAAAGTTCACATCTACTGGACCAAAATATTGTAATTTAACTAGTTCTCACTTAGCTCAGTACCTCCTCCAGGGCCCGTGCAGGAAATGTGCATGAAAATCACATATCAGGTTGTTACATTTGAAGCATGGTAGTCCAGCCTCTGCACTGTCAACACACCGACAACTCAAAACCTGCTCAGGACTGCTGTTCAGCTTAGAGCCACAGCAGCACAGCTACAGTTCTTAGCCATGCAGCTACATGAACAGTGCTGCTGGCTGAGAGTAGCTCATGTACACTTTTAGTGAAAGATCTAGGCCGTGAGGTTAAAGTGCATGTGCGCAGGGGCTGCGATGACCTTTAATTCTCACCATCAATTATGAATTGTTTAGAATTCCAATCTTTTTTTTCTTTCAATTAATCTGTTTAGTCTATAAAAGAAAGTTTGGGAAAAACACAAGCAATCAAAACATCCAGTAACTAGAAGGTCAATGTGAACCTCAACAGGAAATGAGTTTAATAAAAAAGCATCCTGGTGCGAAATAAAGTGCTTTTTCTAATTATTATAATACAGTTTGTATCTTATTATACAGCTCATGACTCCTCAGTGTTTCCAGAGGATTAATAAAGCAGCGGAGGGTTACAATATACGGTCAGACTGCCTAATTATTATCAGAATTTCCCCAATTAAAGAAAAAAAAAAAAACGAACATCCTATTTCATGACATTTAGAACTACCACCGTCGCCTGAAAAGTGTTGCTGATGATGATATCAACAAGTGAAATTATTTTTGTTTCAAATCACAGTGTAAAATGGGGATAAATAATCACATCTATAAAAAAATAATTGGATCATAATTGTGGCCGTCCTGGTCTCTAATTAAAATTTGTCCTTTAAATCTGCGGTAATTAAAACGTCCCCACACAGACTCCTGCCCACAAGTCAGAAAAGCAACTCCATTATCAGTTTGAGAAGAAACGAAATGCCGCCGGATCTGAAGGCAGCTCAGCAGCTGGAAGAGCAACACGCCTGAAATCAGCGACAGCATGCGACCCCCCCCCCCCACTGTGTGAAAACAGGGGGATACGAGGAGAGAGAAAGAGAGAGAGAGAGTGTCAGACAGAGAAACAGACAGAGAGAGATAAAGAGCCAAAGGTAGAAACTGATAAAGAGACCGAGCGACAGGGAGTGCTGTCTGCTGTGTGTTGTTGTTGTTCAGGGGTGGGCCTGCCTGTGTCTGTGTCTCTCTTGCTTGATCCTCTGTACGGTGGCCATTTTAGGACATTATAGACTTGTCACGCTCAGCCAGACAAATCACCAGCTGTAGTTTGAGCTGTGAATCAGCGTCACTACATGTTTATGTTAGCTTTTAACCTGATATAATGCTGGATTTTTTTGAAGACATGTTAGCATGTTTGCTACTCGGGCAGGTTTTGTTTGCACTGGTACAGAAATAATTTCATTCTTTCAGCCCGTGTTATGCAGAGGAACTGATCTGTTCATTTCATATTCACTGGGCTCTTACATTCAAGCGTTTTCATGGTGTGGGTGGTGTTGTAATGGTTTCTGGTGCTTGTGTTTTCTCTTTCTTATGCCGCCACGCTGTACCAAAACAGTTGCGTGGTAATAATAAAGTATCTAGATGCCAGATGTCAGCTGGGATTGGCTCCAGCCCCCCCGCGACCTGTACGCAGGATAAGCGGTTGATCGATGGATGGATGAACTTTCGGTCTCATTCAGTGCTCTGGTCCTGTAGTGAGCACTGCACTACAAATAATTGATTTTTAGATGAGTCACGATGCGCACTTGGACGATTCTGAATCGATTCACAAATGTCATTAATCGATTATCTAGAGGTTAACTGATAAAATAATGTTGATGGAACGAAAACGCCCGTCCGGAAGCTCAGCAGAACGTTTTTATGGCTGATAGTTCAAGTTGGTTTGTTGTCATTCATCCGCATAGAGAACACAAATGAACAAAATGCCGTTTGTCAAGGCCCACGGTGCTCAATACAAGATCCCAATAATCAACTTACAGGACACAAACATGTAGCGACACTAGCAGATATATTAAGGTGGAGTGAACGGGGGTTGGCTGGAGCGTTGTAAAGTGCGTAGTTCAACACGTATGTGACTCTATACTAATAACAGCAGCATCAGAAATAAAAATAGCAGGAGCAGAGGTCAGTAATAATGCAATGCAGTATCACAGTGAGTACATCTTTATCCTGTTGGTTTTACAGTCGCATCATAGCCCCATAATCGTAATGAGGTGCCTAGAAATTCCCACCCTTGAGGTGACGCATCGAGATATCCAATCGAAGACCAGATAATCGTAATCGAATGGAATCGTGAGATCAGTGAAGATGCACACGCCCCAACTTACACACGTATATCACTTTTGCAGTATTGTATGATTGTTGGCAAAGCACAGTGTGCATTAGGGTTGGGCGATGTCTACAATGAAATGAAACATCGGGATGGACGGTGCAGTCATCTTATGTGCATGTGCTCTCGCTCAGACTTCAATTGGTAGAATATTAAGTTACGTTACAAGTCGCGGTGCATTTTTTACAGAGCAGGTAAAGCAGTATTTAACACAGGGCGCAGATGTTGGTTTCAGTTGTTTGATGGGCTGCATCATTAATAAGCCGACGTCGCGGGTGGAAATATGGGGAAAGAAGACGATGTCTGTCAGCCATGGCCCAACCCTTGTGTGCATGCTATCAATGTTTTCTTGCATTGTGGGTACTTTCACGCACGTGACCTGGATGTCCTCACTGACCCTTTAACCAACAGTCCTCTGAGCTCCGTACCTTCCTTAGCGTAGGCGGCGTACACCCCCCTCAGCTTGGGTCTGTTGGACTGAAGCTCTGCGTCTATTTCATCCTGGTAGCTCTGAATTTCCTCTGTTTAAGATAAAAATGAAGAAGTTGAAAGTGGATCAGTCGGTCACTCGTTTTAAATGGCACACTGAGAAGCAGACAGTGAGATGCAGTGACATTGTACTTCTTGTGTGTTCTTGGTAAAGTCACGGCCTGTTCTTCTGAACTTTGCTAACCCTTTGAAATACATTTCCCATAATTACAATGTAATACGTTAGTACTGTAACATAATGTATAGTTAATTACATACGCGTAAACTGAACCGTTAAGACGAGGAGCTGTTTCCTCTTTGTACTGCAGTGTGCTCTCTTTTTTCCCCCTTAGCCACATCCAACACTGCATTTAGTCAAGGTCGGCCAAATGGCAAAAACGTCGATAAAAAACAAGAAATCATTACCAAACTTTGCTGTAACCTCAGTGTTTTGAATGTGAAACGTTAACACACTTTATTTTACAAAATCTAAAGAAAGGCGCAAACAGGCAAGGATACTGCATTCATACCTTCTACGTCATCCATCTTTTTCTTCAGCTCCATCTCCAGCTACAGGGAGGAAGACAAAGGGAGAAACGGAATTAAAAAATAAAAGCCTCTCCGTTCCAACAGTAAGTACAGGGTGAAATGATTACAGAGTAAAACATCTCGGTATAAAAGAACATCGTAACACCAGGACTGTGGGCGGCTGACAGCAGCAGGACATTTTCTTGCTAAATGTTTGGCTTGGCAGACACATCCAGGGTCAGATCTATTTTCTCTATACTGTAAAAGTAAAAATGATTAAACATTATATGACTTTTCTGCTTTTGCATCTTCTCCATGTCAGCCTCCAACTCCTTCTGCTGTTGTACCAGAGTACTGTTACCCATCCTGCTCCACTGTTTCTGTTACTAAGCAGCTTGTTTAGGCAAAAGCCTGGTACCAGAGTGTTGTTGCTGTTTGTGGTTTACATTTGTTGGAATATGAATAGTGGGGAGTGTGTTAAATGTTGACTGGTGCTGTGAAAAATAATTTCCTTCTGGGGACAAAGTCTGAAGTTCTGGAAACCTTGTAAGAAGAAATTGGCTCTTTGTGGCAAAAGAATATATTAGAAATTACAGCAGAAATTACTCAAAAAAGGAAGTGAAAGGTGGAATTATGAGAATGAAACTCTTCTAGCTTCCAACCACATCTCGTGGCTTTCATCAGCAGTCACACGGAAACAACCACAGCCTGTCTGCAGCCTCTTCTTCTGATGAAGGCGGCCACACACTCACAAGTGAGTTGAATGTTGCGTTTCTGTCAAGCTTTTGTAGCTTAGCTATAAAGTTGTACATTTGTTTGACTCCAGCATCCCCAGAAGGATTCATCTCCTGATGCAGGATACTGGAAGCACAAATCCTAATTGCCAAAAGCAAAACTCGACATAAATCGCAGCTCTGATGTGGATTAAAATATGTGCATGATTTACATTTATTTATTTTGCTTGAATGTTACTTTAAAAACCACAAAAGATGCAAAAGGAACCCAAAATGCCACAGCAGTGGGTGGTGATGGCGCAATGGATAAGACGCCTGCCTTTGGTGGGAGAGACCCGGGTTCAATCCCCCACTGAGACCAGAGGCGTGTGACCTCTGACATGTATAGCAGCTAAATGCATAAATGTAAATGTAGCAGAGTTCAGTCATGCGTTGCCTGATGCTAAGTTTGATGAGAATCCTGATCCACCCTCATGTCCGTTCTGTAAATATGAAGCTACACCTGCAGCTTCTCCATGACTAAAAGCCAACCCTCACAGTACAACGATCTCTGACTGTTTTACTTTAGAGGTTAATACCCTTCATTAATTATTGGAGAAAGCCTGAGGGCTGCATGTTATCATTAAGAAAATATAAGATGAATTTTTAATTTTCCCTGAGGGGATAATGAGTAATTTCATAAGTAGTGGGATTTTTTAGAATTGATAAAAACAGGACGTTCGGTGCGTTTTCTGCACCGTCGAGCTCGTTTGTCCTGATGCTACGTGTGTTTACATCCCCACCTGATGGGCTTTTTTCTTCATCAGTCCGGCTGTAAAGCAGGGTGGGTCACACTCTTGGTCCAGATCCATCTTCATGAACTCTTCGATGGTCAGCTGACTGGTGGGTGTGTCTTCAAACTCCATCAGTCTAATGCAGGGCGACAACAGGGAATATTAAAAGGGTCACTTTGGTATTCTTAGCGGGGGTTTTCCTGGCTCAGAATGGGCCTTTGGGGGGTGACTGCGCCCAACAGTAAGCACGGTCGGTACGCGTACAGTAAAGGCAATGAGTTACCTTACGACCCAAATGTATATATTTTCTGATTTTCTGTTATTTCTGACCATTTGATAAACAATATATCCCCAACATGGAGGAGTAAAGGTATAAATTAATGTATTGATAAATATTATGACTTAAAATAGAAAGTCAGTATAATAATATATTTACAGGTTACACTTTATTTGGATGATCTGCCTACAGATAGTTTATTAGTTGAGATTCACTAATAAAACCATTCTCTGAAATCAGCCTACAGCACTGTGGTTAAGGTTTGATTAGTGCCAATGTTTGTTCATTATAATCTCAGATCATAGTACAGGTTACTACAGCTTACCATTAGTAGCCTATGATATTAATTCCAGTTGGACAAAACAGCAGTTTCATTTTCGTGGGTTGTTTTTAGTCATTAAATTATTGTGCAAGACAAATGCTCTACTTGGTAGTTAGACTCCGATTTGTTTATGCAAAGTACTGTGCAAAAAGAACAACATTTCTAAAGTTTGCTGTAGTGCCTCAACCTTTTTTAATGTCCCTCCTGGGTGTGATTGGTCGGTTCACGAAAAGTGACTATGATGAGCAACTAATGCACTTGGAGATCGGGTGCCCTGCATGAAAGGCTCCCGATCTCCATGCGGAGATTAGCAGGCAGGAGAGAACCGGTGCCGGTACGGCAAAGAGTAAAATGTAAGAGTGACGGTACTGGTGAATACCAGCACACTTCAAGCATATTTTGGTGTTGAAATGACCAGCAGGTACAAGAATCTGTGCAGTAGATGCTTCAGTCGGCAGCTGAACAGGCTGCCATGTTTTCCCTTCCGGGGCAATTGCACACATTAAAGTTACGTCCACAAAAAGTGCTTCTTTTTGCCACCGACAGGCTCACACTGTTCCACCAGGTGTCTGACGGGGAAACGCTGGTGGAAAGGGAGTGTAGTTTGTTGTGTACGTAGGGGAGCTGCTAGCAAGACTTTTTTCTTAATATTTCTCCAACTCAGATGTTTCCATCAGCATTCACAGTCCGAGCCTGTTGGTGGCAAAAAGCAGCACTGGAGAAATACGTTGCAAGACTGAATTAATCTACTGCTCATCATGCACCTTGAAGGTTTGACTTTTTGGCACAAAATAAGACAAACAGACAAGCCTCCATCTTCAGTCTGTCAGTGACAGAAGTTTCTTTGCTGAACTCCAATGAGAACTGTCCGAATCTAAATCACCACCCACCTTTTTCTGATTGTGGTTTCACACACTTTCACAATGCCGATGACTTCTTTGATGGTGCGACGAAAGTCGTGCATACGAGCGGCAACGAGAAGGGCTGAAAGCAGAAAAAAAAAAAAAGACAACGTGATGATTTAACAAACAGGTTCAACTGACAGCTCTGTCACACGGGGCCCGTCTCTACAGTGTTTCAACTATCAACAGCAGACCGGGCTCCTTTTCTGCGTCTTCTATTATACTATAAATAAAACATGGATACACACACGATAAACAACGATATAACAAAATGTCCACGCACGTGATCAAGACTCAAACACACATTTTATGTTTGGTTTTTAGGCGTTTCTGCGTGGACACCTTGAAGACCGAGCTCAGGGCCCCTCAGCTTGCGGAGCCAACAGTCCGCCCCCACACACAAACACAGCTTTAAAAAGGAGTAACAACAACACCAATATTATGCAATGAATTGCAGAACGATCCTTCAAGGGGAACGGTTATATAACAGTCATTAGAGCTGCCTCGCTCAAGAGCCTGCTAAAAGATAGATGCTTCTGCTTCTACATGCACACTTCTAACAGCCTTTAGGACTGAAGTGCTGCTTTTTAGCTCCGCTGACGACTTTCTCAAACATTTTATGCCCTTACCTTGAAACCATGTAACTTCAAAGTGGCTTTCCTTTCTTAATGCAGAGTAAACTTTGTCATTTATTGCTTTACATTCATGACCCCCTTAGTCCATGATCTCATTTCACAACTCGTCTACCCTGAAGAACGTTCTGCAGATACATGTTTGTGGCTCGTCAACAGAGATTTGTGCATCATATTTGGGAACAAACAAACTTTTCCTTCTTCCATCTGACTGTATCCTTCTCAAAGATTTATGATAAGCAATTAATTATTCAGGCAATGCAGCCGAAGGAACACACAAAGACGAAAACTGAAACGGTGAGCGTAAACATGCAGGGAGCAGAAGAGGCCGGCGATTCGATTTCAGGATGTCTCAGCGGGAGACGCCTCAAAGCCGAGCGTATTCAGGATGACACTAGCAGAGAGAAGAGCTCTGAGCTCAGCGGTTTCACATAAACTCACACAGAGGATGACGAGCAGGGCGGGAAACCAACACCAGACTGCGGTGAGTTTAGGCAGGTGCTGGCAGGTTTGCCTCACCCACACGTCTCCTTGGCAGATAACCCAATACGCAATAAAAGGCTCAAAGACATTTGGTAATGTAGCTGGCAGCAAATCCTGAGAGATGTGGGGGTCACAGTCCAGCAGCTACTGGACCGGTTGGTGGACAAACTATTACTGGCCTTGGGTTGATGTGCACGTGTTTCATCACTGATCTGTATAAAAGGAAATTCTCATTTCACTCGCCTCCTACAGGTCTCAGGTCAGGTTCAGCTACACAGTAAGACAACTGGGGCTGCTGGGGATTACCGCCAAGTTTGCCATCACAGGAAATACAAACATGGTTATGTATCTGACAAAATCATCATCATCATCAGATAAATGAAGCACTTGCAAAATGCATCAACCTTTTTGAAGAGTTTTCAAAAATACAATTAAAGGCCTTTCAAGAAGATTAAAGGCTTTTCAAATCCTTTCAAAAAGTCCATGTTCACCCATCAAACGTGGGTTTGCATGATTAGTTAAATCTCTCACCAGAAGAACAGAATAACAAGAAATCATTTTTAAAGATGTCCAAAATTCAACTGAAGATCTCAAAAAAAAACAAAAAAAAAACACAGCGTGCACATGTTCAGGATTTAAAAATGGAACAACCTGCTAGAAACAATCACACAAACATCCCTTTTTACAGGTGAATGTAAACGCAGCACCAGAACTTTTTTTGTGCGTCTCACATTGACAGACATCCGTCAACTCTGGCTAACACAGGAATTCCAGTGCCATTAGCAGTTATAACGCCAACCCAGACTACACAACGTTATCTCATACAGGTAGTGAGAAATAAACTATACATGGGCAGCACGAGTGTACAAAAGCATCCTCATGCTGAATATTAGTAATACCAGTTTCTACAGTTTGAACCTTCTGCTGTTTAACGTCAAAATATATGACTGGATTTCTGCAAGATGTCTTATGTGGGAGCAAAAACTGCAGTGTGTGAAGGAAAAACAAACTGGGGAGCAGGAAACCTCTGCATTATGCATTAAACAGCCATAAACACGCAGTAACAGTGCGCTCTCACCTTAAAACGGCTGTTTCTTACTCATCAGTAAGAAATCTATCCACCTTACTCACATCCAGGGATTGCCAAATGCTAATAGCCAATTCTGCACCCTAAGCTAACAAGGAGGTTTGCTAGTTGAGATACTGAACACTGTCCATTAATTTCTTCAGAGAGCTGCATGCAGTTAAAAAAGGCACAAAAGCAACTTCTGTCGATCTGCCTCCGAGATGAAAAAGAAAATCGGTCTAACGCAGAGTGTGTTTATATCAGATTTTGCCTTGTGCAGTTTATTTACATGTACTCTTCTCTTCTTTCCTCGCACAGAAACAATGACCACTTGCCAACTAAAGCATGGCAGTAAACCTGGGATGGTTAAAATCAAGGGCAACTGGACTGTGTTAAAGACACTCGAAGACGTTTCGCCTCTCATTCGAGAGGCTTCTTGATCTTTTCCCAGGAAGCTAAACAAACGCACACATTTGGCCTCGACGGCGGTTCAGACTTGGCCTCAGGGGTCCACAACGACCATAACACCTGCTGTTACAACAGCCAGGAGCGCTAACCAACCAAGTGGTATCTGCAGAGGTTAAATAGCTGGGGCTCCCTGCCAGTCAGAGAGCTGAACTCTCTCTGAGATGAGGTGTCAAGTCAAAGTTTATTTATATAGCACCTTTCAAAACCAGGGTTACAAAGTGCTTTACAAGGATGGAGGCAGCACGAAAACAGTTCAAAACAACACTTAGAGATTAAAAGAAGCATTAAAAGAGCAGACAGTTACTCAGTAAAACCAGAAACAATACAAACAAAGCAATTCCAAGGCAATATCAATCAAAACTGGCGAGCATGATAACTCATGTTCAGAAACACTTAGAGAAAAGTTATGTCTTTAGCTGTGACTTAAGTTTGCCATCCTGACTGCCAGGAGGAGACGGCTCCACAACCAGGGGCCCAGGACGGCAAAAGCCCGGTCTCCTCATGTTTTTAGTTTAGAACGAGGTAGGACTAGCAGACCTTGCTCAGACGACCTGAGGTGCCGAGCAGAGTTATAGGGCTCAAGCAGTTCACTTAAATTATGTGGTGCAAGATTATTAAATTCCTCATAAATGAGGAGGGAGATCTTGAATTGGATCCTGGGTGTAATCGGAAGCCAGTGCAGTGACATCAGAATCGGGGTGATATGAGAGCGATAAGAGGCGTATCGTCTTCTTGTATCTTCAAACAAACCCAGCTGCCCTTTAGTTTAACCTTCCTTGGATAACTATGACCTGGATGAAAGATAACCTTTGCAGACATCATGGCAGTAAACATGCCAGAGTTATGAAATCCACTTCTATTCCTCCCTGTCAGAATGATGAACTTCTTGTGCTGTAAGGTTAGAAGAAGTAGTGACAGTTACAAAATGTCACTGGGCAGCTTTCAGGAGTATCTGAGGGCTGATAGACGCCAACCGAGCAGAGAGCATTAATCACTTTCTCTCCTCAAGTTTTCCTCGGAGGACTGGAATCGGGAATCCTCTAATGACACACCTGCAGCTCGGAGCCTTCGGGCTGCTGCCAGCACAGATCACCCGAGATAAAAATATTTAACGCCACCTCGTCTCATGGTTACCTGCTCCGCAGAGTCCTGACGGCCTTCGTCCGGTGTGCATCCAGTCCCTCTTCATCCTCTGCACCAGCCTCATCGCAGTCATGGAGACTTCGTGGTTCTTCTCCCCAAATTCCAGCATCTGGGCGAAGCGGGGGATGTAAAGGCACGGGTCTGTTGAAGACAAGAAGGTTTTTTTCTCTTTAAGTTTGCGTAGATTTAAGTGTTCATACTATGCATGATCACAATCACGTCCTTTCAAAGCCGAAACATTTGTTCCTTCAGATATTTCTGCCAAACGGTGTTGCACCAGAGAAGGCAGGCTGTGCTGCAGGAAGTGACCCGGATGTGGATGCATAAGAAGATTTAAAGACATTTCTTACCACTGCGATACTCTAGTAAGTTGTTCAATAAAAATCTACCATTGTGTATTCTGACAAATCTAGATTTTATAAAAATTAGGGCAGTTAACGCAGTTTATTTAAAAATTATTATTATTGATGATGAAAGTTCGTTGCCCACTGGCTCTGAATACACATTCAATCAAACCATGGGTCACAGGTGGGGGGGGGGGGTTGATCAGCCTGCAAATCAGCCACCCAAACAAGCAGCAGAGGGAGGCTTCAGCAGACTAGCGTGTGGGAGAAGCAGATAAACAAAAGCAAGACAAGCAAACAAACGCCAGGGTGAAGTGGAGAGCTTCACATTGCATGCTGATTAGTAAAACTCCGTGAGGATCAGTCTCTCTTCCAATGATTTGTGCTGCGCGTCACAGACAAAAAATTCAATTCAATCAGGGCTCCGGAATCTAACTCGTTTTAACAAGCTAGATAAAAGGTAATTCCCTGGCAGTGGCAAATAGCTTTGGTTTAATATTTGATTACATTAAAGATTAAGTTGAGATTTACAAGAAATATTTTATTGCTGCTGTGTAAAAGGGATTACTGCTGGTAAAAAGCACCTTATTTGTTTCAAGTGTTTACAAACCACATGTCATTACACTCTTGTGTATATAGCAAAACATTTCAATTAAAAGTGTAATACACTACTTTAGAATTCATTATTTAATTTTGCGCAGAACTATGTGATTAATTGAGATTAAATTTTTTAATCGTTGCCCAGCACTAATAAAATTTAAATATTTCTGTTACCAAAATACCACATTAAAAAAACCAAACTTATGCATCCTCATCTCAGACTGAATCAAATAACGTTACCGAGCTGCCTGAATTATTAGGGCTACGTCCAAAATCACTTCCTATTACTTATTTGCTATGTAATGCAATATATTTAGCCTCAGCCATTGTATTTGCGTATCTGAATTGTGAGTGTGTAAATCTATTCACTTATCACAATGGTACAAACCTCGTGTCAGTGGTGATAGAACATGTTAATGAAGTGGATGTTAATTCTGAAGTCTTCATTTTGCTGCTCTCTATAAAGCAAACTATTAAGGATATCATTTCAGACACGGTCCAGTTGCCGCCTCCTCTGCGCTCCACCATGTAAAATCTTTTACTTATCACATGCTCTGTTTATAGCTTTTGTTTTTTTGAGTAGCATTAAATCAAACTACATCTTATCCAACCCTGTGCTGTAAAAATGATTCGATCTACCTCGTGTGTAATCTGAAGCGGCTGCAGCGCAGCACACAGTTTATGGCTCCAAGTGTCCTGTAATGATCATATTCATCCGATATCAGATGTGTTCGGCCCCTAAGATCCTGCTGCCAAAATTCTTTAGCCAATTCACTTTAACCAGTGAACAGCCTGCTTGTATGACCATGTGACTTTTGTTTACAAGTCCTGATAGGCCAGCGTCTGAGCAATAAACAAACCACATGCAAAGACTCATTTTTTCCACTCTGGTTCAGACCAAAAAATCCTGCTTTGAATTCACACAGATTTAAACTTCCTAGCACCTGTGAGCTTCCCAGTAAAACGAGTGTCCTACTGCTGACTGCTAATTAGCTCCACTGGAGAACTTGAGGATTAGCATTTGGCTCCAAGCAGCCTGGTTCTCATTCAGTGTCTCCGTCCAGATTTCAGCAGCTGGTGAAAGGATCTGAACGGGCAACCTTCCAATCAAACACTCACTTCTCAACCATTTTGATTCTCAAATGTCTGAGAAACTTGCACTGTGCAGCTCATCATAAACTTTATAGAAAAATACTTTAAATTCAGCCGAAGAGAGAAAAGCTATCAGATCCGCCGGCTTTTTCCATGAAACAGCCTGGCAGCTGGCCAGTTTGCCTTTAGACATTTGTGTTCTAAAAATGATTTTACCCTGCTAAGAAATCTAATTTAATACTAAAATTAGAAGGAATCCTCTTTCCACTGCAGCCGGGAGACAAAAAGCTGGGTTTCATGCCCCGGCTATGACAGTGGAGTCGAATATCTTTGAAGTCAGTGGCTGTGTTTAAAGAGCAGTCCAGTGGAAAGCTGGTAGAGCCAGATGGTAATAAGATCCAGGCTGATTTCCCCCCCCCCCAACACACCATGTAATGATACGTCTGCAGAGCTCGCCATTGCTGCTCCAACTTTCACTGGAGTGCCGGTAAACGCTGGGCCGGGCCAGAGCTCCATAGAAAAAAGAGGCTGTTTAAGGAAAAAGAAATTCACCTCTAGTCCTCTTTCACCGTCAAACATAATCAATCTGTGATGCTCAAACAGCCCAGGAGTCATTCTGGGATGGAGCGCTGTAGTTTACTTTTTCTCCTGTACCCACTTTCCCTCAACCCGCTTCGCCTCCTTGGACCACCCCCAGAGAAGGGTGGCGAACGTGCTCCTTTCAATCAAAGGCAGGAGCAGGGATGCATGAACAGCATTAAAGTGTTATCATGTCAGCTGTGGGGGAAGCTGCGCCCCTCCCTCAAAACCCCAACCTGACTTGGAGCTGCAATGCATTCTGGTCCATTTTGTTACTGTGGGTGTTTAAATTGGTCTCGGGGTTTCATGTTCTCTGATGGACTTCTCTTGGTATGATTGTCAAACTGTCAGCTCTTGCAAGAAGCACCTCACTCATCCAAACCTGATGGATACTGATGTTTTAGAGCAGGGGTTTTCAAAGTCTGGGACTGTTGGGCCTCCGCTCAGACAAAGCTTAGTTTCCCCGTAGACTGTTTAAACGAAGTGGACGTAGCCACCGTGACGTCGGATGGTTTGCGGACCGCCGTTTTGAAGCCTGTAGTTTGGCATTTTGGTCGCCATCTCGGTTTGCGCGAAACAAAAGTGACAATTTTTGGACAAAAGGGTGGAGCTGAGGAGGGATTAGTGGTGGCAACTTGTCAATCAGCTTGTAGCCCCGCCCTAAAGCATCCGCTGCTTTCTGGTCTCTGTTCCTCTAAATGGGACCATAATTTACTAAATGAACATCATGCTGTGTTGAAGAAGACTTGAAACTAGCGACTGAGACCAGAAACTCATCAGGAAAGTGTTTACTGAGGGAATAAATCAGCTGACAAGTAGAAACATTTTCTCACAGACTTCTAGACAATCACACTTCTTTTAGTAAACAGTGGAGTCGAGTAGTTTATGGCAGGAGGTTCCCATTAACAGACAGAAACCCAACAATCGAGCAAAGATGGCCGATATTGCTGTTCGACATAACTTAAGGTTAGACCAAATACAAAACAAGTTTCTGACTCTGACAAAGACAGTAAACTTCCCAAAAACTAACTCTCTCTTTGACCAAATCTCACACACACGTTGGCTAATCTATGTGACCTTTTAATAACTTGTCATATTTTCGCACTTCCATTCACGGAGCCTCCCACTTTGAAAACCACTGACTTAGATCACTGCAGGATATCTGAAGCAGTTTGACGTGATGCCACGTTGTTTGTTTGACCAGTTATCCCCAGAAACAAGATACATCAGAGGCAGTTAGGTACCATCACAGTAAGCTGTTCCAGGGTTTTACAGTGTATGTAGTGTAGGTTTTGTAGTGTATAGATTTTTGCTTGTACTCCTACATGTGCGTTAGCTTGATGCGTAGAGATCACATGCACACTGCAGGGTTGTGTTTATCCACCACTATATTTACCACTTCAGGATAGTATACCAGTGTTTAACAACAACATTTTATTTATTTATTTTAATATTTTAGTGAGGCGTCGATTCAACTTTATGCTCATTTTAGACGCTACAGTTTCTATACATATCTATATGAAACTCACCCAGAAGCAATCTCACCTTTAACCTTGTTTACAGGTTTAGTACATTTTGGACATATCTGTTAATTGACATTTGATTTTTGCAATTTCAACTCTTTCCCACTTTGTACAGCACAACAATTCCTGTTGGAAATAATGAATTAAATCTTAAAGGTCCTGTCTCATCTTCAGACAACACTTTCTGTCATAACACCTGTGGGCACTAACATGCACTTCCTGTGCTCTTCTTCTATCCCCCTACATTTCTCTTGTATTATTGCACTTTTGTGTTAACCCTTACTTCTCCCCCCTAGGTATTCACCCCATTGATGCGATACGTGCTATTAGCTCTTACCAGTATGTATTGTCAGTTGCAGATCTGGTGCTGTAGTTGATGCTCTGTAGATGTTGTTCCTTAAATGTAAGTCGCTTTGGATAAAAGCCACATGACTAAATGTGATGTAATAAACAGCCAAACACTAAACTCATGAATTATATTTTATGAAACGCAGATTCTTTTCTTTTTTTATAAAGGTCAAATCTTTATATGCTCATTAGATATTATCATTTTGTCTCCACCTTGTTATTAATATAGAGAAAGAGTTGACATAAATTTTAATGACATAAAACCACAGCGCGCACACACATGGAGCAGAGCCAGGCTGCAGCCTGTTTTATGTTTCGGGGTGATCTGGCCTCATTACTCCGCCGGGCTGGAGGGTCATATTTAACCGACCTTCTTTTTAATTTTATTTTTATCTCAGGACCGGGTCTGAGCAGCGGACAGAGGCGGAGCTGTGACGCACTCTGCAGAGCAGCTGAGGGAGGCGCTCAGGCTCTCCTGACGTCAGCGCAGCGCGTTAATCTGATTGGTCCGCAGCGAACCCTGGGCGTCCGAAGAGATCACGACGAGGAGGAGGAGAGAAAAAAAAAATAAAAATCAGAAACAACCAAGCAGACCTTAAAAACTCCCGTCATATGAGTGTTTACCTCGGATGCGTGCGGCTGCAGCGGAACACCACAGCTGGTTTTGTCTGGGTCCACGGCCGGTTCGGAGAAAGAGGGACAAACCTCAGAGGATTAGCGGCAGAGGCGGGGTGGGAATAAAAAAAAAGAAAAGAAAAAGCAGTAAGGACCTGATCCCGGCAGCAGGATTACCCACTCGCCGGAAAAGCGAAAACGAGCGACGCTCCGCGGACGTTTCTCCGGCCGGAGAGGATGAGCTGACCGCGGGGACTCGCAGTTAAAGTGCTTGTGGTTGGACGCGGAGGAGGAAGCGGACCGCCCCGTGCACCGGACGGATATTCACATGTTGACGCGTAAACTTCGCTGTGGAAGCCGTTTTAAAGCGGCGCAGTAGGAGCCGGACTTTACGCATAACAGGCAGAATCCCCCCCCCCCCCCCGTCCAGCCAGTCATCCAGACCCCGGTCGTGATTCGGTTCCCCGGATACTAAACACGGAGAAGATCGGTTGCTTGTGCCGATGCCAACGGCAGACTGCAGGTCGCTCCATCATGGCCGGATCATGAGGTGTTTGACTTATCTGCTCCTACTTCCAGAAACGCTGAAAAAGTCCAAGAAGGTCGGTAAGCTCCCGGGCAGGCTGCCGGTATGTTATGAGATCCTGACTCTGTCCCTGACGAAGAAGCAGCAGCAGCAGCAGAAGATGGCTGCGGAGTTGTACCCCGCCGCCAACACCAACCTGTCCAGCGGCACCACGGTGGCGGACACCGAGAAGACCAAGGAGTTGCAGGTGAGCCAGGCCAGCAGCAGCAGCAGCGCGGCGACCACCCCGACCACCCAGCAGAACATCAACAACAACAACGTAGATCCACCCAGCTGGCAGTGCAGCCACCCCACGCTGAGAGAGAGGTAACTGTCACAGCCGTGAAGTGCATCCACGGTCATTCCGGATTAAACGGCAGGACATCAGAGCCGCTCGGGCTCCGTGCGTTAATGTGAAAAAAATAAATAAAACAAACACTAAAAAAGGAAAGAGCTCCCGGTGTGCAGTAAGGTCACAACTCTCTCACCAGTCAGCACAGCGTTTTATTTGGGAGAAAACTATTCCCGCAGCATCTACTTCCTTATTGTATTACCATCTAATATTTAAAATGTGCACCGGAGCATATATTTAAGTGTGCGTGCTCTGCTGCGTTAAAGCTGCAGCAGTAAAGTCGATTCATAGGCAACTACTGGGATTATTGATTAATCATTAAAAGGAAGGTTTTAAGCAAAAATGGCCACTGGTTCCTCCAACTGAAGTGTCAATCTTTTTGGCTTTTTAAGTCTTTTATGAAAGTAAATTTAATATATTTGGGTTTTCTTAGTCTTTCATGGCGGTACATTGGATATATTTGGGTTTTCCACTGATATTGGGAGAACACACAAGACATTTTAAAAAAGGTCACCATGGGCTCTGGAAAATTGCAATGACATTTCTCACACTGCAAAGTTTACAGGCCAAATGATTAATCAAGAAAATGATCAGCAGAGTCGTCAATAATGCAAACAGTCGTTAGTTGCAACCTTTCTGCGGCTGAATCCTCCCCACATCCATGAAAATAACCAGTGTCTCCAGGCAAAGCGAGTGTGGGAGGACTTGGTGTTACACAATACTTGATGGAGGCTTATTCATGAAACGTGCTCTGCTTTTAGGAATGCCTTGATGTTTAACAACGAGCTGATGGCTGATGTCCACTTCATCGTGGGGCCCTTGGGGGCATCGCAGAAGGTTCCAGCACACAAGGTAAAGACATTTCACTGTTTTGATTTCTTTCTGTGAGAAAATAGAAACTCTAAAGGGCAAAGCAGAGAGTTCAAGTCTGTGTGTTAGAGGAGTGAGGGAGTTGTGTCTGTGAAAAGAGTGACTCCTGCTCCTTTATCGAACTTGCATGTGTCTGACGCATCTGTCTGCTCCCCCCCTCCCTCCCAGTACGTGCTGGCCGTGGGAAGCTCCGTCTTCTGTGCCATGTTTTACGGCGATCTGGCGGAGGAGGAGTCTGAGATCCATATTCCAGATGTGGAACCTGCTGCTTTTCTAATTCTGCTGAAGTAAGCCACTCACCATGCCCTCACGAAGCACAACCAGCAGGAGAGATGACAGTCAGTGTCACTTCAAAGCATATTATTACTCATCCAACGCGAAGCAGAGGCGAACGCCAAAATGCTGGGAGCGCCAGAGAGAAGTGGCAGCCGCACAGTGCTCTGTAATTGCTGGTTTTCTCAGTGCGCTTTTCCTTTTCCCTCATCGACAGCCTGACAGTTTCTTAGAGGGGAATATATAAAGACTCGTAGTTATAAATAACCTGCCTTTGTTGCTCGTTGAGTAGCATTGGGTAAGCCAGCACCGTAAGACCTCTTCTGTAAAGGGTAGGATGTGTTAAGTTGTCATGCAACCCTCTTTGGGAAGAAAAAAAGCAAACAAACAAGAAGAAATAAGCACTTTTAAAGTCAGTTACCATGGTCCCAACGTTCCTAGTGCCACGTCTTATTTTAAATAGTTGTACGTTACATTTCTGCACCCGTACAGTGATTAACAGCCCGCTTTCCTTCTCCCAGGTACATGTACAGCGATGAGATCGACCTGGAGGCCGACACGGTGCTGGCCACCCTGTACGCTGCCAAGAAGTACATTGTTCCCGCCCTGGCCAAGGCCTGCGTCACCTTCCTGGAAACGAGCCTGGAGGCCAAGAACGCCTGCGTGCTGCTCTCCCAGAGCCGCCTGTTCGAGGAGCCCGAGCTGACGCAGCGCTGCTGGGAGGTGATCGACGCTCAGGCCGAGCTCTCGCTGTGCTCCGAGGGCTTCTGCGAGATCGACCTGCAGACGCTGGAGATCATCCTGCGGCGGGAGACGCTCAACACCAAGGAGGTGGTGGTGTTTGAGGCGGTTATGAACTGGGCCACGGCGGAGTGCAAGAGACAAGGTTTGGGGCCCACCACCCGCAACAAAAGAGAAGTCCTTGGCAAGGCGCTGTTCTTAGTGCGCATCCCCACCATGAGCCTGGAGGAGTTCGCCAACGGGGCGGCGCAATGTGATATCCTGACACTGGAGGAGACGCACAACGTGTTCCTGTGGTACACTGCTGCTAAAAAGCCCAAACTGGACTTCCCTCTGACGGCGAGAAAGGGTTTGGTGCCTCAGAGGTGCCACCGCTTCCAGTCCTCGGCCTACCGGAGCAATCAGTGGCGCTACCGCGGCCGGTGTGACAGCATCCAGTTCGCGGTGGACAAGAGGATCTTTATCGCAGGTCTGGGGCTGTACGGGTCGAGCGGCGGCAAAGCCGAGTACAGCGTCAAAATCGAACTGAAGAGACAGGGGGTGACCCTGGCGCAGACCCTGACAAAGTTTGTGTCGGACGGGTCGAGCAGTACGTTTCCGGTGTGGTTCGAGCATCCTGTTCAGGTGGAGCAGGATGCGTTCTACACCGTGAGCGCCGTGCTGGACGGGAATGAACTGAGCTATTTTGGCCAGGAGGGCATGACAGAGGTGCAGTGTGGGAAGGTGACATTTCAATTTCAGTGCTCCTCCGACAGCACCAACGGGACTGGAGTACAGGGAGGACAGATCCCCGAGCTTGTGTTCTACGCATAAGCTGCTCTGGACCGCTGATGGAAAACGACCCTCGCCTCCCAGCCTTTGAAGTAATGTAGCATTAAAGACACTCGACTAACGTCACACTAAACGGCCTGGTTAGTTCTTTGAGAGACTATTTTAAAAGCCAAGGAGCTGTTTTATCTTATTTAATTTAATGTTATTTTTTTAATTTAAGTTCCGGGTTAACGTTATTTGCTCCGACGCCTGCGGCTGCTGTAGAAACAACATTCATACAGTGATTTGTGGTTATGTAATCAAGCTGAACTGGAACAAGTAGGGCTGCTTCAAATTCTGTAATTGCAAGTCTATATAAGATGTTGTTACTATAGTCCAAGCAGCAATATTACATGAGGAGTAAACTTTATGTAGTGTTGTAATTCTAAATGCAGAGATCTTCTCAGTTGTTTTGCACTTCAGAGGACGGCCTCAGAAACATCGTGTCTTTTGTAAAAATACAGTTTAACAGCTTGATGCTGTTAAAGATGACCAGATGTGTTCTGTACAAGAATGCTTACGCACCTGATGAACATAAAGGTTATAATGTGGTTGAAGCTGGAGATGTCACGTCATTATGGTTTCTGGGTGAGGGAGAGGGGATTAAAGGGACTGCAGCGCCCTCTGGGTACTACAGTCAGAACTACACCTTGGTTTTATTAAAAGGTCCTTGCAGCAGTGGATGGATTATTCAGTGGGCATCCAGTACAGTACAGGGGCCAAAGGAGTCATGGGGCCCCTTAAGCAAGAGCCTCTTTTTAAAGTCACAAGCATTTAAAGCTCCTTTAAATACAGAGAATCAGCTGCACGGTGCACACTTAGGCTACACATTCATGTTAGTAAAGGAACTTGTGTTTGACAGAACAGCTCTGCTTGAAGAGAGAAGAACCTGCATTTCAGGTTCCCTAATATTTTGTGCAGTGTGCTACAATACTGTGTGGAGGGGGAGTGAGGGTGCGTCTGCTGTGGCAGGAAGGCTTGGATATGGTTAAGACAGCCTCTTGTCATCTACATAACTACTCCTTTTTAAAATCAGTCTCAATATTATCATAAATGCAATATCAAATCCCTGGACTATCTTTAAGTAATTTATCAAGCCAGTATGCCAAATATGTGAAGACTCTCAGCTTTTAAAATGTTTGACATTGTAAATTCAACACGGACAAGATGTTTGAAGGAGTTATCTTGAAGTCATCTGTCACCATTTTCTGGCGATATATAGACTAAACGATTACTTGATAATTGGTAAATTGATCAGGAATAATCTGTAAACTACATAAAAGACAACAGCTGATTCACAATTTAGAGAGCTGAATTCAGCAGAGTGTGGCGAAACCCAGCAGAACGGTGTAAAGGTAAGTGAAGTCTGTACCTATAGCCGGGGCGTTGATGCACAGTTCTCTGGCCAGCACGAGGAAGGTTCTGCCCAGGACGTAGACGTTCACCTGTGGAGGGGGTTTAAAGGAAAGATGAGCAGCGAAGATAAAAACAAAGGAGAGTGAAGTGAAAACCTTGTGCTGCCAGTTCAGTCTAATTTTCTAACAGGATGTTACCGTGATCCTGTATCCAACGTTCGATGACTCCAGGAGCCGATCGATGACAGTTAAAGAATTTGAGAATTAGTCTAAAATGAAGAGGTTTCTGTCCGACAGGAGGGGTGTGACTGAGGAAGGCCAGTGCGTTGGAGTGTAAGAGAGACCATTAGGATATGAAATAAAGCCGTTACATCACCGTCAGGTAAAGTGTGCTCGTTACATAATCGACCCGAAGGTTGCAGAACATTTCACAATCAATGTGTGTGATTAAAAGCTGAGCTCTGGGCGATCCTCGTGCACTCTCTCCACCTCACAGCTCCGTCTCTTCATTTCTAATCAAACTTTCTGCCACTCAGTCGCCCCTGCACTCTGCGTTCAGATCGACTTCCTGTATCTAAATCACACATCTCACCAGTACACCGCTGTGTTCGGACAGTATTTGCTCTCTGCAGACATTGCGTGGCTTGTTGAAGTGATCGTGGTTCTGTATCTGACAGGAAGGCTCGACTTATCTGCACACCAATGTTTTCCCCCCACCTAAAGGGTGACCTCTCACAGACGTCTGCACCGCCAATTGTTTCTCGACAAACACTAGCACAAAATATGAGATTTCAGCCAAAGGACAAAAGGTTATTCTGATAACTCGGGAATTCTATTAGCAACAAAAACAGAAAAGCTACTGGCTCGATGTTCGCATCGAAAGGTGGTTTACTGTGTTGGTGAAGTTGTTTCTCAACACTTTTGCAAACATGAAAGTAACATTTCAGTTATATTTTATTTTGGCAAAGTTCAATTAATTCATACATTAAAAAACGAGGGTTCAACAGTGCTCACATGCCTATATGTACACCGATTGGCTGACTGGTCTTTGACAAAATCCACATCCAAAAACTTACTTCTAGTTTAACAGAAACTAAAATGAAGCTTTGGCAGTCTGAGTTATGGATGGATGGATAAACCAGTGAAAAACTACTAACTCATCAAGTTTTTTTAAAATTGAGACGGGCCCATGTTAGCTCCCTTCACTCGAGGTCTGATGGTGCTGACCGACCAGCCTCCTGCAGCAGCACCTGCTGCCACAACATCCCACTAGTAGTTTAGAGATGTATAACATTTCAGAACATTTTATAAAGTACCACTGCTGCCTACAGCAGGTGGGAGGAAATATTTAAGGCTTCTGTTTAATACCATCTAAAGCCTTTGAGGAAACACTTTCCACCAACTGCGTGTTTGATTGTAACGATGTGTGAAACTGTCCTTTAACCACCGCTGTGCTTTAGAAGTTTGAACAACTCTGAAACAAAAAAAATCATATTTACACCAGCATTGAAAGTTTTCACACCACTCTCTGGTACAGTTAAACTGGGCTCAGGAACAAACTAGAAACCTGAGTTGCTGCAGGATGTTTGAGGGAAAGGCTGGCTGGGTGGTGCATGAAGCAGATCAGGGTTATCACACTGGCACCTCCCATCACAGATGTTTCATTGTGTTTTACCGACAACACCTCCAGAAGGCTCTGCAGTAAATTCTGGCACCCACGACCCACCCCCGCTCCATCTGAAAGGATCTGATGATGGATCCTGGTGAACAACAAAGCCACAGGGCTGCCCATCTATCACTTCCTTCACGAATCATCAGCATTACAGCCCAGATTTAAGCTGCGGTGTGTTCAGGGCTGAAAGCCGGAGCAGAAGGGAGTGAAAGCTGCAGGATCAGGGCGTGAACTCGGGTCAGATCCCCGTCATTCCTTCAGACCGACTCTCTCCAGACCTCTGGGGCTGCGGGGGTTTTGGGAGCAGACAGAAGGACTCTCGCTCTCAGCCCCCCCTCTGCATTTGGGCTGGGACGCAGATGCTCCTCTGCTATTCTGGGAAGTGGATTCCAGCAAGGAATTTATACACAAAGGGCAAAAACTGTGGTGGAGGAGGAGGAAGTGGAACAAGCAGGGCGGTGCGATTACAGCTGAAACAAGGATGTTGACCGTTTCTTGTGTTTGTCTCAAGAAACTTGAGCACAAAAACACCGAACAAAGGATCAAATGATTGTGGGTACTGAGACAGGTGGCGCTCGTACTGCTGAACCATCGCCTGACTCTGCAGGTCTCCTTCTGGTTACAGACATGACCCCGGTCTCCTCTCAAAGAGCGCTCTTTGGAGTTCACTAATGCCAAGTCAAAATTAAACAAGGCAAAATGATACTTGGATCTTTGACAGAATCCTGAAACCTCTAAATAAACTGAATAAGGGTTTAACAGGATGTTGCTCGTTAAGGGGTTAAACTATTTGGGTTCAGTCTCTCATTAACCTTCCACACACAGCAGGCAGCTATTTTAAGCATAAATGCTCCAATAACCTGACTGTACACAACCTGCTCAGCACCACACAGCAGACAGACACAGCCAGCCGGTGAACAGAGCATTTAGCAGCTGAAGAGCAAGATACTGGATGTCCTTCACGAGTTGGTGGAGCCCAAAAACAGAGCTAAAAAGGACTCCTGTTCGTCAGGTGGACAGAAAAGTAACCCTAAATGAATGTTAACGTATCAACTTTATAAAGGTGATAATATCCCGATGTCATGTTTTCATCTTGTTGCTCAGCTCAACGTTTCAACGTCGGCCTCATTTTTGTAGTTTTGTCCACCATTCCCATCAGTAAGAAAACTGCACTCATCAGGATCTGGGAACGCAGCAAGACTCGATATAAAGATGATGAGAAAGATGTAAACACAGCCTTATTTGGAAGAGAAAAGTAATGTGGACGGTGAAATGATGACTGTTCTTAACACCCACCACAGTTTACAGACCAAGTTCCTGTTTCTATTTTGACCTACTGTACACAGAGTTCCTGTGTAATGAGGGATCATAACCGACCGCTCACTTTCAGTTTCACTTCCAAATAAAGTGATTTACATCATCTACACACTGTTGGCTTGTTTATTGGGATAGTATCGTGTTCCCGGATCTCAGCATTTACTTTGGTGAGTACAATGTTAATCACGAAGGATGGGAATAACGGACCAAACTGCGACAATCAGACCCGTAAGAAGTCAAAATCGCTTCACTTATCCGTGACCGAGTGAGCGAATTGTAAAAAAGGTTTCAGTATTTTATATAGAGCTTTTAAACTGACTTCTCTAGTTTCACAACTGCCAATACTCCATGATTATTTATTACTTTACATGCGTGGATTAATTTCACTAGTCCGACTCGTCTTTATGCGTTCACGCAGCACAGCAGAGTTTGGTGAATTTGACACCGTCACGTAGAATCATCTGTGTGTGACTGAACTCTGAGCTCAAGCCTTTAAATTCAAATTTTAATCATCACTTTGAAGTGCCGGCAGTGGAGGAGCTTGTAGGTGAAACCGAGAACCTGAGGAGAATATAATCTGCTCTGCAGCGCTAAGTGAAACTTTCCGGGTCAAGGATCAGCTCCAAACGTCGTGCGATCAAAAACACGGCGTGGTTACTTGATCCTCCAGCAGGTGGACGCAGTCACAGAAGAACTTTCAATTAAAGGATTCCTGATGGGACTCGTATGACTGAGGCCGACTCCAATTATAATAGCGAACATCAACAACTAAAGACTGGAAACTACAGAACCAGACAGCTGCCGTCGACAAGTCTTTAGCTTTAAGAAATAAAAAGAGGAAGATGGTGATGGCTCGAGCGCACGCCTGCTTCCCTGCTGATTTAAATTCAAGTTTGTGGGCTGTGATCTCATGTGTGGAAACTCTGCTTTGTCCTTTGCAGCACTTGCTATCCGGTACCTCTGCTGAATACAGGTTGGACGTGCAAACGACAGCCTTTCTGTATCAAATGTTGCCAATACACATCTTAAAATGTAATCAAAGCAACACCTAGAGGATACAAAGATTCAGTCTAAATTTGTGCTGAGGGAAAAATAAAGATTACACCTGCCCAAAAATAAGCTAAATGTAATTCAGTTCCACGTTTTACAATGTGAATCTGGTCTCAAATCCATCCATCAAAGCTGAATCCTTTCAAAAGTCTTATTGAAACTTTAAAATAAGAAAAATAAGCCTTCTTCCAATTCCTGGCGCTCAGTTGATGGTTAAGAATAAAAAGCGTTTAATAAGCATGACCTCATACATCATGTAAATACAGTAATGTTCACCGGCACACATACTGAACAGAAACCAGTAAGAAGTCTAATCCCACACAATTTTGTCAAGATGAACTCAACATTACAAGGACGACACGCTCCGATGAAAAAAGGTACCTCTAAACACATCTGGCCAACAACTGAGCGCAGAAAATCCACTCTGCCTCATCTACAGTCCTGTTTGGTGAGCACGGTCAAATAATCTAAAAATTAAAGCGCTTCCTCTGGGACCAAACATCCACCTGAAAACCCTTTATGTACCGCTTCCTACAGAAGGGGCCCCAAAATGACAGACTATCTGAACGCAGTCCAACACAATTAGGACAGTCATTGGTTGTGAAAACATCAAGATGAAGACACAGATTTTCCTTTAAGGGGGAGGGGGGATTAAAACAAGAGGTTTAAATAAAATATCGTCTTCACAGAAGATGTCTGAATATGCCAGGAAGCTTCCTCGGCCTCTCCGTGGCCCGAGGAGACCCCCCCGACAGGCTGAAGCAGCGCCTGTGCGCCGCCTGCCGGATCCTCTGCACCTGTTGCTCCAAACTCTGCATGTGTGCAGAGATATGCATCTTATGTGGAAAACATTCAGAGCATGCGATTGCATCTGGAAAGCTCATCACATTAGAGGCAGAGGACAGCTAATATCTGCAGCCAGTATTGATCCAGCCCCGACCCATGTGCTTATTCTGCTTGAGTAACTTTGCGGCGCAGACTGACACGAGCTCGCCATTCATCCGAACAATGCAAAAGCAGCGGCCCGGGTGTGGATCCATAGAAGAAAAAAAAAAAGTGAGCAGCAGCCGGCTAAACGCTGGACACTAATAAGCCTCAGAACCCCACCCACCAAAAATCCACTCCAAATCCACTCCCACTCCTCCTGCCTGGGTGTGGGCGGCGGGGGAGGGGCGGCCGGCTCCTCCAGGACAGCTGGGCGCATAAAAATAAAAGCCCCTGACCAGCTGTGACTCTCAGAAATGCCCCACCACCCCGTCCAGCACCGCCACACCCCTCACTCAGCGTGAATCAGCTACAGACAAATGAAGGGGGTTCTAAATTTATACGCACACAACTCCGGGTTAATTACACGTGTGAACGTCTGAATGCAAGATGACGGGGAGGACCAAGTGGTTAAGCAGAGATGCATTATGGGACTTGTGGTGAGTGGTAGGAGTGTGGTTGATTTAACAGGGTGTGCATCAACACACATTAAAGAGGATCTGAAGTTATTTTAAGTTTTGTGCTTTTATAACCTTACGTGCTCAATGTTTCGATTAGAGCTGCACAGTCAGTCAAAATTTATTGAGAAAATTTATCTTCAAGTATATTAATAGTTGATTCATCATCATTTAAGTAAACATTTGAGAATAAATGGCAAACATTTTATGGTTTCAGCGTCCAAAGTGAGAGAATTGGCTGCTTCTTACATGCTGGCCGGACAAAACAAGACGTGTGAAGACATCGTCTCGGGCTCTAGGAAGGCGTGATGGACACATTTCTCTCTATTTTCTGTGTTAACTGATTAATGAAGACAATAATAAGCAGATTCATTGATAACAAAAATAACAGGTGAGTTTAATTTGACTGTAGTCGTGACACTCACCTGCAGGAGATCGCTGAGATCCAGCAGCATGTCTGAGAGACTGGTTAAGGCGACGAAACCAAAAGAAACTGTTAAAAATCAAGATCGACAACAGAATGGGCTTTAAGTTTTATGAACTTCCTGTCTCTTGCCAGGGAAGCCCACACAGACTCCACACTGGTCAAATCGAAAGACAAATAATCAAATTTAACTTCAGTGTGTTACTTGTACAAACTGCTGCTAAGAACTAGAACTGGCCCAGTAAAATGACTCAAGCTGATTTAGCTCTTTAATTCAAGACAGATTGATCAGATCAGTCCGAATGAGCAAAAACTAAACATCAAGTCGTTCCGTAGATACCTTTGGTTTAACGTTAGCTACGTGGATAAATTTGGTATCCGTCAACAGTCTGAGCAACATAATCCAGCAGCACAGAGCACACGGAGGCTGCAGGGAGTGAAATTAACATGAGTGAAGTAACTTGAGAATATCTGACAGCAGAAAAGCTTAGTATTGTAATATCTTTGTCGGAGGAGTGTCGTGTGGATCTGTTGTGGCAGACAGCTTTGGGAAAGACCTCTCTGTATCTCCAGCTTAATACGTTTTAATCTGTTTTCAACCAAAAGCAGCCGGTTAACCTTTAAAATGCTTCTTTATGTGAAGCTAAATGAAAATGAGCAACAGGTGTCTGAATCCAGTAGCTTCCATGTTGGACTTCTCTCTAAACTTTCATTTTAAAACGTCGCTCTGCAGCCTGCACGTACAGACAGAATTATCTTTGAAGCGTATTTCATGACGTTCCACCTGCACAGTGGCGTCAAACTGATGATGAAATAAAATAAGAGCAGCTGTGAGAGTGACTCTAAATACACCGGTGGGCCTGCCGACTGCGACCTCTCTCTCTCACACACAGGTCTGCCTGATCAGCCTCTGGACTTCCCATCCTCCCAGCGGCCGGCCCCCGCCTGGACGCACCTGTCTCCGGGCTGCCAGGGTGGATTAGCGGGGCTCCTCTGAAAAGGCCTCACAATGGAATTAGCCGCAGTGCAGATGAAATGGAAAAGATAATCCCAGCACACGCCGTCTGGAGATTACAGGAGACTCCCTTAATCAGGAAAATAAACGACAGCAGGTCCTTCAACACATCTGGGTCCACTGAGGGAAAAATGAATTAAATCCTTATTTGGTGCAACAGGAAGGACGAACAGGACGATCCAAGTGACGGACGAATTTAAATATCCAGAGAAATGGAGATTTAAACTGATACAGCAGTAACATGACACTTTGATGCTGCATTTAAAGAGCTCAAAAAGTATATTTTATACACACTGTATATTTACCAGCACTGTTTGCTTTATTTTTACAGCTTAAACTATTCTGATGTATGCGTTTCTGCACCTCCTGCTGCGACCGGTGCAATGATCAGATGTGTACACTGCACACCTGTTATGTACAATTTTGTTTTGTATTTTTCCTATTCTATTTTGTCTTGTGTGTATTTTATCTATGTTTTGTATCTTCTGTTTTATGTGGAGCGGCTGCAGCAAAACAGTTTCCCCAGTCTGGGATCAATGAAGTCGATCTTATCTCATCTGTCTTTGTTGCTTTGCGCCACAATCATCTGTACAGACTTCAAGCTTCTTAAACTTTGATGACAGACTAATGCAGGCATCTCTCCTCACTAAACTGGGACGTTCCCGCTCTCTCTTATTGTGTACTTTTGTTTTGCTTTGCTGTGACACGCAAGTTCTGTTGATATTTTAGATTTGGCTACGTCACAGCTAAGTAGCTTAGCTTCAAGCCTCCCAACCCCCGTTGAGGTTTAATAAATATATCATCATAAAAAGTGGGATGAATGCAGCCAAAGCCAGGCTGGATGATAAAACCCGAGAGGGGGCGCTGTTCTTCCAGACGAAACTGACCTGAACTTTCCCCCCCGATGGTGGAACTGTTCGTCCTGATGTTTGAGAGCTTGACTTGTTCTTACCAATGTTTTGGGGTTCCCAGGCAGGTTTAAGGTGAAGCTGGACTAAAACAGATCATTATTACTGACAGAACTGAGACGGCATCAACAAATGTATTTTGAATAATTCACTGTCGTTGGTCAGGTTTCTGCGCTGTGACTGCCACATGTGACTGATGGGGTGAAGACATTTGTGTTTGGATTTGACCGTTTTAAGAGGTGCGTGGATACACACCCGCTTTTAGGATCATTTCCCTTTTCCAGAGAAGCAATGAAGGGAAACATTAAAGTAAAAAGCAATGAGGAAGGAAAGGGAAGTACAGAGAAGGCGTAAGGAAGGCTGGAAACCCAGTAAGGTGGAGGACACGAAATCCCAACAGTCCGATGTGTCAGCCTTAAATTCAGATCACATGATGTTCCCTTTTCACTCCGTTCTCCTTCTGCCTCCGTCTTTGTCCTGATCCCCCCTGTGACAACATTACAGACTCACCCGGCTGTGGAAAAGGAAGTGAGCAGAGCTATTTTTAACCCGCCTCACTCCTCCAAACAGACAGGCCTGCACACACACACGGTAAACAATGCAGCAGGAAGGCATTACACCCTCCTCGCCCCTCTTTCACTGGGTAAACCTATCCCGGCCGTCCTGTGCCACCGTTACGTAACACAAGCATCCTCGGAGGCGAAGTGAGTCGGGAGTAAATCCACAAAGAGCCGCCCTGCGTATGAAAAAAGGATGACGCTAAAAGTCCCATTATGCCTCCGCCGCCGCCACGATCACTCGACTTCAATAAGCTGCCGTTAGCAGATTATGAAACATTAAGAAAGGCAGAAGGAACCTGCAGACTTTGATGTGCCATCCTCCGTCAGTTTAAGATGCAACTCTGTCTCAGCCGACACAGAACGCTCGCTCAGCTTTGCTTTGATCAGGTTTCCTTTCAGAGGTGATTTCCCACTTTGTTACAACATTCAATCAGACTGAGACACAGTCCACCACAGGGCGACGGAGGACTTGGCTTCTGTTCTGTCAGCTGAGTGTGGCTTGATTTTCTGTGTCTCGGTTCATGTCTTGGTTCTTTTTAGAGGCTTATGGCATAAAGAGCTGAAACGAATAGTAGAATAATTCATAGTCGATAAACAGAAAATTCATTAGTTATAATTAAGATTGTTTGAGTTATTTTCTAAATCAGAAATAAACTGCTTGTTTTCAACGTCTTAGATTTGAGTATTTGAAGCTTTTCTTTGTTTTTCATAATCATAAAACACACATTGATTGGACAGCATTAGAAAATTAGATTTTTCATTTGACATGATCAGTAAATGCATTAACATTACTAATTGTCAAGTTCAGTTCACATGACACTGTTTTATACGCTCTTGTATGAGATGAGAGTTTCTCGACTACCTTTCCCATCGTGCTTTGGCTGTTGAGCACGAGTGATAATCTCAGTTGTCTCTGAGCAAAGATTCATGGACAGCACGAACAACTGAAATGTGATCCTACTGCGTTGTCTCTCCACGGTTTACCAGGTTACAGCAACTTTGTCAAAACACTTTAACGAAACCCAGGGAGAGTCACCCAAAGTGTCTCGATTCACCGGAGCGGCGACTTGAACCTGCAAACATCAGCGGCGCTCGCAAGGTCGCATACACCGCATCCTTCCTGCAGCCGAGGCACAAACGCCTGAGGCTCGTAACTGATGACCTTCCTGTGTGATCTCCTCTCGGGCAGCTTGGAGGAGATGGTCACAGTTGAATCAGGCGAAACTGAGATGACGTGTCTGCCGCTGCATGTTCGAAATCATCACAGTCTCATTATGGCTGGTTCAAGCATAAACTCGCACGAGCACTTTGTGAGCTGCACAACAGATACGTCGCTATATGAGAAGAATGGTTGGACAGTTCCAACAGGATATGGAAGAGCATTTTCTGAAGAGCAGTCTGATGTTTTCATCAAAATGCATTCATTACATTCTAAGGATTCAGCCAACTCCTCAAGAGCCGCTGCATTCGCTGGTTGAGCCTCGACCCAAAGTCAGAGCTAAAGCAGACATCAACCTCAAAAGAAACACTTTGATAAGGAAGGAAAATAAACAGTAAGGATACGTGGCGTTCCCTCAGTCCGGCAGACCATGTAGAGGCAGGCGGCGACCACGTGGGAGGCCTTACGGCCGCGGGTCAGGTGTTTGCTGAGCGCCATCTTGTAGAAGTTGAAGGCCGTGTCCAGACAGTGCTTGTTCATCTGCAGCTGGTGACCCAGAGTGTTGATGTTCTGTTTTGCTGAAGAGATGAACAAATACAAAAAGCACGTCAGTTCACAGGAACACTGCGACCATCTCCGTTAAAACCAGTATTGCATGACTGCACTCAGTAAGGAGAATTTTAACATTTCTTATGAACAAGTGGACTTCAGGGATGCACTGACTCGGTCTGATACCGACTCAAAGAGCTGGTGACTCTGTGACTATGCGGCCGATCAATTCTATGCGCACATCTACGTGCACGTGCCATCTCATGCGTCAGCAGCACTCTGGTAGACCCGGACATTTTGCTAAAAGAAGCAAGGAGCCAACAACAAATTCTACACCTACTTTCCATATCTGAGAAGTTCGATTTGTTTTACAAAGTTAGGAAAGCAACGGGGGGACGGAGCTTGGCTCTCAGCACAGTGGGGGCGGGGCTTCAGAACGGGGCCCACCTGCTACAAAGTGACCCGGACTCACTCCAAAAGCCCACCGAGTCCGTCTGCGTCTCTGCTGCCGGAGCTGATCGCAGCCACTCTACTAAATGTTAGTGCTCACACCGGAAGCGTCCCAGCGTCAAGCAGCACAAGCAGATGAACTGGGCAGGAAGTCAGACACGGAGACGGCACAGAATCCGGTCAAATTTCAAAATAAAATATCCGGTACAGACTCCCAATCGTTTATCAACAATAAACACAGCTAATCCAGACAAAAGAAAGAAATTTAACTACGTAGCCTATTTAATCATAGCAGAAGCACAAAAAAGCACTAATCACCAAATCAATAAAATCTAAACATGTCGTCAACGTCCGGCCGGCAAAACGCTCTTATTCTGATATTCTCCCTGTGGTAGATGCGCCCATCAAGACGATGAATGAAAGCGAGCCACAGAGAGCTGTGAGAATGGAGTAGAAGCACAAAGAGGACCCACCGGATTAAACAGAAGTCGTTAACGTGGGGCAGCCGCACGCTTCCAGTGGACTTTGACGCCGTGAAGAAGCCCTTGCGCAGCCTACGTCCCTCCCTCAGAATTCCCATGACGCACGAGGGGGAAGGGAGTTTTGTTAAAATGTGCTAATAAGTTCGTCATTTGTTTGAAATACAAATGTTACTTTATGACTTATGTTTTTTTATGTTTGACGCACCCACGCCATCTCCGCTTCTGAAAGCAACGTTTAATTCAAGCCTGATGTTACACAAAGAATGATCCCAGTCTCTTCCACACAGTGAGGCAGACAGCTTCTTACTCAAACCCAACATCAGACCTGTTCTCGGAATCAGCTGATACCTAAAGCTCAGTATCAAAACTGAAGAGACCACAACACACACACACACCACAAGACACTGCGGACACGTCAGGACTCACGCCTGGAGACAAGCACGAGGGTTCCATTATCCACATGTGCAAGTGCATATAACTACGTCTTAACACGCAAAAGAAAATGTGACACACACACAGCATGAACCAGCTCAGGTGTAGCAGCAGGTGGACTCAAGACAGGAGTTCATAATTACTGCTGTTGAGCTGCAGGTGTATGTGTGTGTGTGTGTGTGTGTGTGTCCTCTGCTGAGCTCAACATGGTGAGTATCCTCGTACAAACAAGTGTGTGTCTGGGAATGTGAGGCTCTGAGTTCATCAGGTCTCCTCATGCTGCTCAGTTTAAAGCACTTTCAGATGTCAACATCCACACGCACACACACACACAAAACAACATGTGGATCTCAGTTTTCTGTTCATGTTTCTTCCAGTAAATAAACAAACCCACTGGACTCGGTCACACACAGGTTACCCACAAAACCACCTTCTAGCAGCAGAATGAGATCCAAAAGAAGTTGTGAGCGTGTAGCTTTGGCTTGTAGAGGATAAAAAGAGTTAATTGCTACCCTAATTTCTACCAAGTTTGTGTCATGGATGATAAGTAGGGCAGACGCTCAGCGCTGCAGCTGTAATTAGGGCTCTTCTTCCCAGGTTTTAAACTCACTTTCCTGCCCTTCACATGACTCCTCAGCTCAAACCCCCAAAACAGCGACTGATTCCTCCATAAGAGACTCTAAATAAATAATTAACTCCTCAGAACATCTCCATGAGCAGAAACTGGGACACCCTGAAGCAGAGTGGCATTTATCCATCCACAGGATCTGATGAAGCTATTTATACCGGCACCTACGTACACCTGGAAAGCAGGTAAGTGATGGTCTGGCTGAACACGAGCCTCTCATCATCATCACGACGCCAGCAGTCAAACACGCAGTGCAATTCAACCCACACCAACACCGGAAGGAACATACATGTATGGAAATATTAGCTGGATAAAATCATCTGGACTGAGATCTGGGGCTGCAGCGGTTTCCAGTTTCACAGTACAACACGGTGTGACAGTTGATGGGAATTCTAACAGTTTTTAAAAAGTATATATTTCAAGGAGGTCTTCAATAAGTTCTCCAAAGCTCAAGGCCCAAGCTTTGAGAGGAGGATCTGTGACATGAGGTTACAAATCACTACTGGCATTCTTGTTTTGACCATCTGAACTCCACCACGAGAGCAGCGCTGAAACAATCACTCCATTAATCAAGCAGTCAATCAATCATTTATCTATATTTTGATATTAAATTAGTGATTTAAAGGATTTCTAAAGCAAAAACAGTGGAAAATTTATATTCTCCTCTGTGAGAATGAGAGCATTTTCTGCTTTTCTTTGTCATGTGTTACTGTAAACTAACCTTCTCCAGGTTTGGACAAAACAAGACATTTGAAGACGTCACCATGGTCTCTGGGAGGTTTGACATTTAATAGACATTTAACGATTAAGCGCCACATGGCAGCAGGTTAGTCGATACAGCGTCCTGTCAGGAGGAGCTCGCTGCTTCCTTTCTTCAGCAGGTTGATTCATTTATTTCTCCTGGAGTAGGACACTTCAGAAAATCAAATTGCTAAACCAGCATGGAGCCTGTCAGGGCAGAAACACTTGTTCTGGCTGATGCTTCCTCCACAGTCTCGCAGAAACTAATGAACATTAGCATTTATTAGGAGGCGGGTTTGTGACCTTGAATGTAATAAAATATTAACTCTCTTTTAGCTCCAGTTTGGAAAATATCCGGCTCTCCAGCTGCTAAATGTTCCACTTTCCTCACCGGCTGGTGCAGTGGCTTCATCAGAGCCCGTTTTCTGGAAAGACATTCGACTCACTGTTAATATTAAAATCACACGACATTTCGCCTCCTATCAGTATATTCATACACCTCCCAGCTCTACATACAGATTTACAGGAATCAAACCCCCAGCTGGTACTGCAGCTCCGCTCTCTGATTCACACATTAATCTCGCCCGGAGCCGCTTTGAAAGCTACATTTAAAATTCCCATCAACACGCCTACACTGCAGCGCACTGTGGACCGACACACGAGGGACCGCTGATGCATTATTGGCCAACACAAACCAGTCGGATCAGTCGGCGGTGAGACGGAGGAGGCGTAGACGGCCGCTGCGGAAAGTTTCTGGATGACACACAAGGAGGAAGAAGAAGAAGAGGAGCTGTTCCTCTTTCAGAGACGCCTGCAGAGCCACAGACGGCCATAAATCTCCCCACAGACCTTAGACACACACGAGCATGAGGAGGCTATTCCCACTGCAACAGCAGCTCACACACCAAAACACACACACACAGTATAACCAGGGCTGTGTGATGAATTCAGTTTTATTTTCAATTAGGATTCTGGCTTCAAACTATTATGAACACAAGACAAGCCGCCGCTCAGTGGACACTGTCAACATATGGATGACAAATGAGTTTCACTAAAAAACTAAATTGTTTTCAATTAGGAAACTGAAGGAGTCTGGGGTCAGTCCTTCCTGGAGGAAGTGTACACCAGCCTGATAGACAGTATTCACGTGTTTAATTTCTCTGTCTGGTTCGGACATCGAACACTTCTAAACAAAAGCAAGCTGGCCAGGGTTGTCAAAGCAGCAGGAAACTTAAAGTCAGCGGACGACCTTTACAGTACAGCTCTACAGAGGACGGCTCGGCCATCGCTGGAAGCTCCTGCATACTGAGCCTGAGCTGCTCCCTGCAGGGCGACGACAGAGATCCAGAAGAGATCTTTCATATCTAGTGCAATAATACAAACTCCTCCGCACAGAAATAATGTTGCACACTGTGTGTTTGCTGCACTAACTGTAGGATGTTTCTGTGTGTCTGGTGAGACCAAAGAGGATCACCGGGCCTCTATAATAAAGATCAAACAATGAATGTCTTTTGAAATAATTTTAGCACTCCCCTTTCCTTTAGAAGAAGAAGACACTTTATTATTCACACACACAGAAGAGATGTTGAAGTTAGGGGGCGGCCACTCAGTTGGGCATACGGGGTTGAGGGGCTTGCTCAACGCCAGCTTCGGCGGTGCCCAGGAGGTGAACTGGCACCACGCCTGCTACCAGTCCACACTCCGCATCTGTTGTCTGAGCAGCCAAGTCCTTCTGGACTGAGCGACTGCCGCCCTCCGCCTCTCCATAAAAAGCCCAAACTCCCTCTCAGTCAGGCGGTGATGGTCAACAAGAAAAGTAAAATCAATCCCGCTGTTTAGAAACACTTTGGTTTGAAAAGGGAGTCTGAGACACTGAGCAGGCTTTGTAACGCGATGGCGTCCGCACCATAAGGAGATAACACCAGTTTGTTTAATCATCTGAAACGCAATCACACAGAGCTCCGTGACCAAACAAAGAAACAAAACGCCTCATCCACTTTCCAGCTAAATTAAATTTCAAGGAAATCCAGCTCAACAACCGCATTACGTTTCAGTCAGCGAGTAATCGTGTTAAAGACGGACCAAACACACACACACACACACACACACTTAAAAGGAATCTCTGACACAGACACCACTCTTATGTCTGTCTGACAAACATGAAGCAGCCAGTTAGCATAGCTTAGCACAAAAACTTTTTATAAGCATTAAGATATAAGAGATATAAAGTGTTAATTCCCCTTTTTCCACAGCAGACACGTTGACTGTCACAGCAGAAAAAACACAAATGAAATTTTGTTAAAGATAATTTCAGTTTTCACATATTTTGAGGTCCAGATGACTCATAGGTACAAAACGTTTTGGAGTCTGTGCAGTAGATGGTTTCAGTCGGCAGGAACGAGGGCGAGGAGTTTGAGTACGTACAAGACTTCATTTCCTAACGTTACTCCAACACAACAAACTCCTCTCCCTCGTTTCCACCGTGGTCTTCCTGCAACAACTCGCCTCTCACGAGATTTCAGAGCGAGACTTCAGTAGGAGTCCCTTCGTAGGGATCCTTTCCATGATGACACCTGGTGTAACAGTCTGAGCTGAAACCAGTTCATATGTAAAAATAGAGCCATCCTTTAACAGTGGCCGAGTTCCATCACGTGTCCCAGTAAGCTATGACGCACGACACCAGATCACCTACATGATTTTTAACGTCATCATTTACGCCTGAGCTTCTCCTGCTAAGGGCTGGTGGGCGGGTTCTCTTACCGTCGGAAAGAACCAGGCAAGGAGTTTTATGCTAAGCTCTGCTAAGATGAGCTAAGCGCCTCCTGCTTCATATTTATGGGTACAGACAGGAGAGCGACAAGCAGCAAGCAGGCAACAGAAATAAGCACATTCCCCCAAAATCTCAAGTGATTCCTTTAAGCAGTGTGTGACAGTGACAGGAGCAATATTTACACACACACAAACAAACAGTGGAGCACAACATCCTAACCAAACCCTCCATCACACACACAAACAATACTTTTCCTCGTGCACGCCGTCAAAGACACACACTGAATACACACAACACAAGTATTCCCCGAACATCCTCCTCCTATCTCCAACACACACACAGTGACTAAACTAATCCCTTATCCACACACACACACTCTCATTACTCAGCGTCTGCTGCAGTCTGACAGCTCTGTGACTCTGCAGCTCCGCCGCTGAAACATCACCGTCGGAGCAGACGCAGTAAGCAGCTGCTCGCCCTCCTATCAGAGCGCTGGCTCTCTGCCCGGCAGCCTGCCGAGTCCACCGCCAGCCAAATGTGTTTTTGGGTTTGTTTGTGTTTTGTCTCTTTCTGTGCAGTGTTTGTTGACCAGAGTTGTTGAGATTAAACTCCTGTGTCAGCGTGAGAACACCCACAGGGCCCCTCGGGGTCCGCCCCGGGGGGCCCCAGATGAGCGGGTAACGGGTCACATTAGAGCTTGACAGATATATCGACGACTGGCTCATCACAGACACTAGAAATATCTTCTCTCGTGCAACAAGACGTTTACACACTAAAATCTCTCTCCAGTGTCGTCTTACTGTCCAGCTGTGAGAAAAACCCGCGGCCCCCTCCTCTACATGTTTTACTGATCATTTAATCTACATTTTATCTCACAGTTGGATCAAGTTGAAACATAAAACCCCTTAAATACTTGATGGAAACACAAAAACAACAGCAAATGTGATTTTAGGCAGTGAACGTGCAGCGTAGGTCCGATAAAAGTCTGTAGTTTCCCCAACTGCTTGAGTGAAGGCCGTTATCGCGAGCACGTTTTTGGCTATTTATAATGTACTAATTTAACTAACGAAGTATATTAATTGGCTCAGCTGTATGTCGTCAGTACTAACTAACCTAGTAGTCCAGGGTTGAGAACATCGGGGATGAGCTCAGACTGAACTGGTGTGCAGCTCTGTCCTGTTCACAGACTGAACATCCTGATTATTAGATTTCAGTCTGCAGAGTCTGACAGCTGGTTGTTGAAGAAATGAGCTTAATGAACTCAATTAGGGACGCAAACTAGTCCTTTTAAGCTAATTAGGAGAAGTTTCTTTTGGGTTTTAAATTTGCAAATGAAATGCTTAGTAATTTTCCAGAGATCCTGTATAGAAAAAAAAAAAAAAATTATGCATCGATAGTTTTATTAAATCGCATCGCAGCCCTCTGAATCGAATCGTGAGGTGCCCAGAGATTAGGCTGCAGCGATATGCTTTATAAGGTGAACTGTATATGGGACCTTCATTTTTCCTAATTCTTGATCATAAGATGACAGATGTGTAATTTGGTGCCAACTAACATCGTTTTCAGCTGCTCAAAAACAAACTTGCACCACAGAAATTATAAATAAAACCTCTGTTCACCAGTGAGACGAAGACAAACCGTCATAACGCTGGCCGGCTCTGTCCCTGAGCATCACATCAGACTCGTGAGGAAAAGCTGAACCAACATGCCGAACCAACAGTCCAGCGTTTGAACTGTAACATCGACATTCATCATTAAAATGGATGGTAAAAACACACAAACACTGAATTTGCACAACATTACAGTTTATACAAAAAAATAAATAAAAAATGGGCCTCTGCTGAGCTGAAAAGGTGCATTTATGAGTCGTCCTTTGAACAGACAGGATAAAAAGCTTCAAATAGTAAATAATCTGCTCTGAAAACGCTGAGAAGCCTTTAATTAACACTGCAAGAGGACTTTACACGCAATACAATATAAGATTAAACACATATATACAAACACTAAGCTGGAAAAAGTGGTGATTATGAACCACGTCTCTGTCGGCACATTAAAGTCCTCTGAAGGAAGAAATGTTGATGTAAAGAGGGATGTAATCTGTGGGCTTAATAAAAGTGTCTATTAACAAAAACTGTACAATTCGGTGTGGAACAATGATGATCCTGACCCTCAGCAACTCAAAACTGTCAAATCAACTTTACTGGCACAAAACCAAACCAGACAGAAGTCTGTCCTGTGCATTAACCCGGCGCCGACCACTGAGCCACCCTGCTGCCGTTACTTCTACTTGTGGAAACAAAAAGCCAGTCGAGTTTAAAGCAGCAAGACGATCGATTAACACGAGTTACGTGAAGAAACAGACGAACTCGTGTCACCGTGAAGAGAAACAGCACGGGCTCATGGGAACTTTAAGGAAGTATGTGGCGCCCTCTGCTGGTCACTCACCTCTCGACAGTGTCTGCGCTCTGGACTCCCTCCCACAATTCTGCAAGTGTCCGTCTCCAAAAGACATGTTGGGGCCTCCGCCTGCCGACAAACAGCGGACACACTCGTATCAGCAGAGGAAAATATAAAAAGCTGCATCTTTAGTTTTCAGTAAAAACTAAAATTTTACAAAATCAAAACAGAAAAATGCTTTAATATGAACCCGTACAGCCGTAGTTTTTCAATGAAAGCGTCCCGAGCAGCCTGTGTGGATAATAAAAGGGGGTGTGAGGGGTAAATATCTCCCACTGATCAGCTCGCTACCTGTTCCATAACGAATGAAAATGCGTACTGACTTCAGAGTTTAATGTAAATACAACAGGCCTACTATTACAGATGAATCATATTTAACTAGAGCTGGAACATCTGATGCTTCCAGGTTATTAAAATCAGACTTATCTTAGAGTGAACTGAAAACTTTTGATAGATTAAAAACTTTTTTTTGCTAATGCATATTAAATCAATCTAGAAATAATCTGCAGTTGCTGCTCTGTGGTGAACCTTAGCTAACAACAGTGGTGGGATGTAACTAAGTAGATTTACTCAGGTACATATTTGGGGTTTTTATACTTTACTAGAGTATTTCAAGCTATACCTTCTCCTCCATTACATCTTGGAGGCAAATATTATACTTTACCCAGGTAAATGCTCTGAATCCTTTGTGCACCATAAACGAACAATGAGGACGTTTAACAGCAGACACGAAGTAAGAGCAGGATGATAAGCTCATGTTGCCAGCAGCGGAAAAGAAATCTCAATAAATCTTACTGTTACATAAGCAGGGCTGCAACCAAAAATCATCAGCAGTGTTTTCTTTGGTCTAAAGCCAAATAAAGGAATGTCTGCAGATTTTGCTTGTAAAGTGACTGAGGATTGTCAGAACTATTGAAAATTTACTTTCTGTCAAATTTTTAAACTAATTTCATGTCAAACTATCATCTCATAACTAAAGAAAACCATCTTCCCTGCGAAAGGCCAATACATCCTGAGCAGGTTGATTATAAAGGATCCTACGGCGCCCTCTAGTGGACATGTTGAGGAACTACAACACAATACATGCTGCTTTGCATCAAACACACGGCGGACAGGTAAAAACTCACTGTGCACATGCTTCTCCTTTTCATTCAGTGGCTTTAAAAAATAAAATAAAAGTCACAAGATGACTTATTTCAGGGAGTAAACCCTAGTGGGTGGACATCATTTTAATAAAATGCGTTAGGGGTAAGCTTTTATTATGTTTTGGGTTTCGGAAAAGAAAGGGGAGAAAAAAAAGAATATGGGCAGATACATAGCAGTATCCGATTTTAAATTGCTCAATCAAAATCTGTCAGGCTCTAATTAACATAACTCGTCTTGCTCACATTAAGCAGCCACTCCTCCTCCTCCTCCTCCTCTGTAAATGTATTTATACCACAATGTAAAAAAATAAATACTCTGTTACAAGTAAAAGTCCTACATTAATAATGTTACTCTTGTAAAGTAAGTCTAGTCAGGAAAAATTTGGCAGAGAGTATTAAAAGTAAAAATGTCTATTTTCACTATAAATTAAATCGATTGTTTAGTTTGCAAGTAGTAAGAAAATTCTAACACTAAAATTACTAAACTATGATTAATCCACTAATCATTTAAGCTTTTACATACTGTTGGGTAGTTTATTGTTTTACTCCATCATATTTCATGTGGTTCATGTTCTTTGTGTTATATGTCCATTTGTAAAGTAGCCACAGCTGTAGTGAAGTTAAAACTACAATATGTTCCTTTGAATTCAAGTAGAAAGTCATGAAATGTAAGGTAAAAATACCTCAAAGTTGTACTTAAGAACAGGACTACACGCTAAATGTACTTCGTTATATTCCGTGACTGGAAGTGATTGTACAAATCCAGATCAGCAGCTGAATCTGGACTTTCACGTCAGCAGGAACCTTTTCTTCATCGTTCTCACCATCTGAGGAGATGAACTGTCCGACGGCCAGCGAGCCTCCGCCGCTCGACTCCACAAACTCCACCTCGGCCACGATGATGTTGTCCTCCAGCACGGAGCCGCAGCCCATGCAGACGGCATCGCCGCGCGCCTGGTCCACATCGATGTCCGTGCTGCCGCAGTTCTTACACACCTTGGAGCTCATTGTGTCGCACGGCGAGCCTCAAAGCCTGATGGGAAAAAAGTTCTAGATACGAGTTCCTGTTTTCATGACTCAGTGGCAGAATTTATGTTTTGTTATTTCCTTTTTTGAACACAAATATCAACTTCCTGCCACAGTTACTGGCTGGTAGGGGCCCAATGTTCAATTTAATAACGCACAATTGAATTAAATCGATTGGCCTCCTTGTCACCCACACCGGATCCAGCTGGAGTCAGTATCAGGCAGATATCCTTCTCGTTTGGGTGCATCCCTACAAGCCAGCAACAGTTTTACCAGGAAAGTGTGTAAATGCCGCTGAACATTTACTAAAAGTACTGTACTTTGTACTGCACTACATTTATCTTTAGTTACTAATTACTTTACAAATTGAGACACACAAAACATCTTATAAAATATGCTGTTACATTATAAATTAAGCTCCCCCACAGTTTACACAAGCACAGCTGAAGGAAGAATCTCTACAAAACAAATAGTCGATTCATGTTGGAAATAATCAGCAGACTGATCCAGAATGAAAAGAATCATCAGCTGCAGCTCAACAACTACAGCAGCAACACCCTGCTTTACATTAATGATGAGGAATGAGATCAATTAACAGTAACGTTACACCAGGCACATTTTACTGCTTCAAGTACTTTCATTTTCCTGATTGTACTTGCATAACGTCACTATTTGTAGGCATGCAGGCCTTTTACTTAACGGCATGAGAGAGTGGTATTGGAAGTTTTACTGGAGTAAAGTATCTGAGAGCTTCTCACGTGAATGCACGAGGAATAATAATCAATATCAGTACAGACACGGGCTACTTTAACACCAAGTACATTCTCCTGATTGGACTTGCATAACGTTACTTTTCCTAAGTATGCAGGACTTTTTCCTCGTAGTGACAGAGCAGTACTTGTACTTCAGTACTCAGAGTTTCTGAGTACCGGCCGCTCTGCTCCGTTAGCCGGCTAGCTACGTGGCACTGCCCGGCACCCGGCGGCTAGCTCTGCGGTTTCTGACCTGCCAGCCAAAGGACTCCTCCGCGGGTTAAAACTGCCAAATCACAGCCATGAAGTGTCTCAAGGTATCTCAGTACTTACATTAGGTTTAATGTGAATATTGTGTTGACTGAAGCGGCTGCACAGCAGGAGCCTGGAGCTCTCACGTGGAGCGTCTGACAGAAAGCTAACCTGCTAGCGCCGACAGACAGCTACATGATGTAATGAGTGTAAAATCACAGGTGGTTAAACACGTGTGTGTGTGTGTGTGTGTGTGTCGGTGTGCTCACCTCCAGCCAGGTGTAACGTTAGTCAGACAGACAGTAGCCGCTGCAGCCACGCCGGGCGCGTTTCAGCCTCCTCGCAGCTGTTTCCGACAATAACTCGGCTTTTTCAGTGTTTCTCACGGACCGAGAGGCTCGTGGCGCTGAAACTGTGGCCTGCAGACAGCGAGCAGCAGCGTGACAGCGAGCACAGCTCTGATAAACGCTGTAAAACCGCTGCAATGCTCAACACAACACACCCAACATGTGCGTTTGATGCTGGGGAGACACGGGCGAGACCAACTGTGCCCGGAGGGGTGGCGCGCTGTCAAGACGGTGTTTAATTTAAATAATGGTCAGTGTTTTTACAAACGTAAAGTAAAACTATGTGATAAGTTCTATGTTGGGTGTTAGACAAATGTAAAATCCGCTTTGAACGAATTATATTTAGCATGTAAAAAGTTGACACCGCCAGACTCCCCTCTATATGTGACGGCACTTCTTTACGTCGCTGCTGTTAAATGGACAGTTGGGTTCAATAAACACGGGAATCCAATAAAATACTACTGTACTGTACTTAAGTACACTTCTGACGTACTTGTGCTTTACTACTTTATACTTTCACTCCACTCATGTCAGAGGGAAATTCTTTATTACTACATTAGTTAGGTTACTAGATACTTTACACATTCAGGTTGGGAAGTATTTAATATACCCAGCAGTGTCTAAATAAGAATAATCAATACAGTTAGTTGTATTATTGTATTGTTGGTGTTCAGGTAGTTTCCTCATTCAGGCCCTTTTTACAGACCAGCTTTATTTAAACAGCACTGTGGGCGAAGTGCTTTACACAGGCATATAAACACGTTAGAAGAAATAAAAAATAATCAATTAAAATTAAGCTAGAATAACAAAATATATTCAATAAAAATATAATGATAATAATAAAATGGTAGGGAGACACATCTTGTCAATTTCCCTGCTAGAAACAGGACATTATTTAAACTGCATACAGAAGTCCTAAAATTCAAGTTGTGAGTATGTATGTGTTGGGCAGTGCAAATTTATGGAATTACTATCATGGCATTTTTTCATTTTATATGACAATGATATATACAAAGTATATTTGTCATTTTCCAACAGGGTTGTATGTAAGATAATAGAATAGAATAGAATATCACTTATTGTCCAGCCAAGGCTGAAAAATTGTCTCACCAGACCTATAAAAACATCATTATACAAACATAGACATTTATAAACATACCAACATCATATCACATTGGTGCCATACATCTCTCCACACATCACATCACTGCAGTTTACCCCATATACACAGAAAGATACCAATCAGTGCAGTTTGTTCATTAAATTTATTGCACTAGATTTAAAAGATCGCTTATAGATATTTCTGTTTGCCAGAGGTACTCTGTGTCGTTGTCGTGAAGGGAGCAGCTCAAACCCAATATGGAGGAGGTGTTTATTATCACCAATGATGCACAGGGCCTTCCTACGTAGAGCTGTACTGTGAAGGTCATCCAGTGACTTTTGTTGATGTTTCCAGTCAGTTTCAGGGGAGGCTCAGTGACTGGAAGTGAAAAAAACATTACATAATTTATCAAGAGGAGATCACTTAGATTCGTCTAAATGTGTGTGATATGGTTAAAGAGAGAGTTCAGAGGGACAGTAGTTTGGGGGAACTTTACTGTTTTTTACACTTTCCAAGAGTCTGAAACTAGTAAATGCCTGAGGAAGGATTTTATATTTGGTGTACTCTATAAGTTATGTCAGACAGCAATATTAGGCTATGGGCTGTATGAGGTACTTATACACAACATGCACAGGGAATCCCTCGTGCCCAATTTGTGAATCAAATGATTAAAATAATATGAACAGAGGCATTGGCACTTGTCTTGTTTTGTTTTTCTATTTGCCTTTGTGTTGTATGGGTGTGTTGTGGGCACGGCATGGAGCTGATTGCCTGATGAAGCAACACACCTCGTGGCAGTCCTCATCAGCGCCTGGCCTTAAGATGTGGGGTTTCCTGAGACTTGCCGCCAGATTATTCCAAAACATCCCAAGGTTGAGTACCTCTAGGCCCACTAAGGCCCCATTACTGAATGTAACACGGGAGTTAAAAGTGGCTGTGCGGCGGAACACAGACTGGGAGTCATCGCAAAGTAAACGGCGACATACACAGTACAAGTGTAGGCTGTAATTGTTGTTTGCACAGTACAGAATATTTTAATAAAAATACCAACTCAAAAACTCTGTCAGCAGCGCTGTGCTTTTTCTTTGCCTGACTTATAAGACCCAATAAGAGAGCCAAGCGTGAGGATCTGTGTCATCATTTCTAAAGTCCTCAGTGTTTGCCCGTCTTCACTAAAACGCCCTCTGGAGTTTCACAACAAAAACGGGGTCAGCAGCATTTCCAAACTTCTGCATTATAGGTCTTTGTTTTCGGTGTTTTAGTCTGGACGGGAGGAGCAAATGTAGCAAAAGGTCTCTGTTTAAAAACGTAAACACAGTAGTGTGGATGAGGCCTAAGTCTCTAGTGTTTCTTGTGTTTTTGTCTGCAGAACCAATGGCTTCTTCGGATCAAGACTGCCTGTCCCTGTTCTGACCTTGTCCAAGCACCTAGTACCATCTCTTGCCCACTTTTTGTGAATTAAATCTTTAAAACTTGACTTGTCTAGTGCATGTGTCCACACTATTTAAAAACATAACAGGGATGTTAGTTTTCACCTTCGATGATTGAATCATGCAAATGTTTTTCCAAAAAGTTTGCAGCTTAAGGCAGTTTGAACGATCACCGGCCGTCCACAGGGGGCCGGTTGCACCGCGATCTCCTGTCCCTAGTCTGCCCCACTCCTTCTCCGGTACGGGTTGTTTCGCTAGTGCAGCTGACGCGCTGTGAACGGTTTGTGATTGTTGATCAATGCCGGGCTGGAATCTTGGCGTTGCTTGAACACGGAGCATGCTCCGTAATTGTGCAGGGAGCGAAGAGCAAGAGCGAAAAGAGAAGAGAGCGAGCGCGTGTCTGGCACTGTGTTTTGTTTAAAAGAGGGCATTGTTTCCACTGGATCCATGAGGGGACAAAGGATCTTCTGATTATTTACTTGTTTACCCTTTATTATTTACCTCCTTCAGAGGAACAGCACCGAGCCACTGGTACAGATATGTGGACGACACCTGGGTCAAAATTAAAAGCCGTCACAGAACACATCAACTCTGTGGACAGTAACATCAAGTTCACACGAGAAGATGTTCACAACAACAGTTTGGCCTTCCTGGACTGCGCTGTACACATTGAAGAGGACAGGAGCCTGCAGATTGGTGTTTACAGAAAACCCACACACACAGACCAATACCTACTCTTCGATTCCCACCACCCACTGGAGCACAAGCTAGGGGTCATGAGAACACTGCACCACAGAGCGGAAAAAATACCAACAAGCGCCCAGGCCAGAGAGAAGGAACAGAACCACCTGAAGGGGGCACTTACAGCCTGTGGATACCCTAAATGGACCTTTGTGAAAACAGCCACAAGATCCAAGAAGAACAAAACTACAGGGGAGGAAAAGAAGGTCAAACGCAACAACATTGTGATTCCATACATGTCTGGAGTATCAGAGAAACTCAGGAGGATTTTCAACAAACACAACATCCCTGTGTTTTTTAAACCCAAGAACACGCTAAGACAGATACTGGTCCACCCCAAAGACCGCACACCCAAACACAAGAAAAGCAATCTAGTGTATGCGGTCCAATGCAGTGAGGAATGCACAGACCTGTATATTGGGGAGACTAAACAACCACTACACAAACGCATGGCTCAACACAGAAGGGCCAACTCCTCAGGTCAAGACTCTGCAGTCTACTTACATCTGAAGGACAGAGGACAGGGTCTACGCCACGACTTATCCCCCACTTACAATGCTGTCCTTTCATCACTTCCCAGGAAACTCAACAAACGTAACCTATTGGCCTCAGGTGAAGATACCAACGGTGGTCGTTCAGTCTTGGCCACCGGTAGTCTTAACGACTATAACGACTGTCGTCACAGCAACAAGGAACACTAACGAACCAGCGGTATCGATGACCCGGGCCAACGACCCCACTGAGGTTAAATAGCTGAGTTTCCCTGCCAGTCAGTCAGAACTGAAGAAGTCCTTTGGATGAGGGACGAAACGTCTTCCAGTATTTTCAACCAAGTCCAGTTGCCCTTGATTTTAATCTTCGTTGCATAACTATGACCTGGATGACTGAGAATCTTCATAGACATAATTTACTTACATTTAACTCAATCCTTGGTTCAGGAGCTAGGAAAATTGGTTATTTAACACATGATTATATTTCTGTATCATCATTTCTAAGACAGTATATAAAAGGTGCTGGAACAAAGCATTATTTAAAACATTAATTAAAGGAATGTCAGTAATCATTGCTAAAAATTAAAGAGCACGGCAAAATTAACATATTTATGGATTCTTCTTTTCAACAACAACAACAACATGGTAATATAACTACTCAAATGGAAGTGGAGAGACCTACTAAGTAGTAAAGATTCTTTAATTAAAACAAGGTAATAGGCAAGTTTATAAGGACAATATTCATTTGTCCACACAAAGGAATTCGGGGCAGCGTCCTTCTCTGGTGTCTGGCTTTCCTCACAACTGGGTGTGAAGAGGGAGAGGGCATGTTAAGAGTCCAAATTAATGGCTCTTGGGTGGGGTAGGGAATCAAGACTGAAGAAGGGGGTCTTTGATGTCTGAGGTAATCTGAAAGAGGAACTTTGTTACCGTGGTTACCCTGCATTCTTGGTCTTGGGAATGTTTAGAGGTTGTGTTGTGGTGGCAGCCCGGCTGACGGTGAGTGTCCTGTTTATTTGTTTTTGCTTGTGATTCTGTTTTCCCGTGGCGTTTTGTTTTTCCTGTACTCTGCCTGCCTCCCTGTGTCTCCTCCCCTGCGTGTGCTCTCCCTCTCTCTCTCTCCCTCCGCTCCTGAGCCCAGCCAACGACCCGCACCTGCATCTCGTCAGCCACCTCGTCAGCCTGCCACACCTGCCAGCAATCAACCTCATCCCTGCCTGTATATCAACCCCAGTTCTCTACACCATCTCCGCTTGATCGTCGTTGCTCCTAACCCGTGCCACGTCACCACTCAAGCACTCTCGTATTCGGCATCATTTCTGTTTCCCTGTGCTTTGTCTCCACTGTGTCTGTGTCCACCCTGTCTGTCTGTCTCCCCTCCAGGTCCGCTCACCTCCGTCCTCCGTTCAGTCAGCTGGGCTCGCCACCCTGCCCTCTCCCCTCGGACATCTTCCACGGCATCCTCCCGGCTCCTCCCTGTGCCTCCTTGCTTCCTCAGTCCCCAGTGCCCCCGGCTCCCTTGTCTCAGTCTCCTCGGTTCCCCGTGCCCG